CACTTTTTACTTGAAAATGAAACGTTTCTTTCTAGTGTTTTCCCATTGTGAAGGCGTTTAAAGATACCACTGTGATACTACAAGTAAGGAAAGTTTGAATATTATAAGTGTTCAATTGCAAACATTACAATGGATGGCAGTTGTCATCCATGCGACCACTTGGGTAGTGACAATGTACAGTCTATAGTCACTCGGAGTTGGACGTGACCACTCCAGGGTTAACTAATTTTTTGCTGTATACTAAAATTATTGTTTCAATGCTAAAATATTAAAAATATTATTGTCTTGCAAACTGAACATATGGGTCGTAATTTCAACTTTTTTTTTAAATATGCCCGTATTCTATGATTTTTCCTGTTTAACATTCATTTTTGTAATTCTGGACTTTCTAGAATTGTGGTCGCAGCAAGCCGACAAGGTCGTGGCGTCCGACGGTTAAGTAAGCGGCGCGGCGCACAATGGAAAATAAACTGCTCATTTTTGTGTAAAAATCGTAGAACTTTTTGTAGAAGTAAAAGTATTGTAGAATCAGGCAAAAATATAGAAAAAGTATCAGAAAACAAGTTTTGACCTTGAAAATCTATGTCAAGCTTGACATTTTTGAAAAAAATTAAGGTTTCTCCGTTATAATGTTTGGTTGGATTTTTTCCTTGACGTGTTATATACCTACATCATTTCCTATAAAATTTGACACGTTGAATTCTAAATTGACCGCAGAATTTGTTTCTACCGGCATAATTTAAAAAAAATGCGGTTCGAGTGAAAAAATTCGAATTGAGTAGAGTCACGAAATAAAGAAGTTAGAACTGTTAAAACTAATAATAACTGTTAACACTATGTAATAAAACTAAAGAAAAGCAAAGAGCAAAATATTTAAACAATGAAATGAATTTTCGTAAGGGGTAATGAGTCCTTTTTGTCGGGTTTTTCTAGCTCTTAGCTAGCGCGAACAAAAAGCCACGTTTTAATCGGTGCGACACTTTGCAGACGTCCTGTAAAAAATTAAGTAAAAATTCAAACGGGATTCTATTCGTGAGACTTAAAACTAGACAATAAACCTCTAAAAGTTCATAAAGCTACCCCCCCTTTTTTATACAGGGGTGAATTGCCCCCAAAAAAGAGTGATTTTTCGAATTTTTCGGAAAAATACGTATAAAACGATAAAAAATACAAAAAATAAAATATTTTAGAGGTTTATTGTCTAGTTTCAAGTCTTACGAATAGAATCCCATTTGAATTTTTACTTAATTTTTTACAGGACGTCTGCAAAGTGTCGCACCGATTAAAACGTGGCTTTTTGGAAGACGCCCTCTACAGCGGTCGTGCTGAACTAAAAGTGGTAGAAAAAATTTCTTTATGTTCTTAATAATATATATAATAGCGTCCAAAAGGAATTATGTTTCTAAATATAATAGTTTTTTTATAAAGAAATATTAAAAAAGTGTCTTTTTTTTTCAATTTTGAATGAGAAAGTCCCCTTAAATTGATATACAGATAACGGAAGAAGGTAAGTAAGAAACAAGGTGAAAAATTTCATTTGATATCCTGTGAATGTGTGCTTGTTGTTATAACACCATGCTCGGCTGAAAAATCATGATGCAGGATTTCCTAGAGAAAAAAAAAATCACAGCAACCTTGTGCCGGAACACAAGGTATAGGGAAGCAAACGTGAAGGGTGCGAGGGAAGAACGCTTGCGCTCGAGATCGTAAGTGGACGCAAGCTTTCCGGACCGTGTCGTCGATTCGTCGTTCGTCGTCTGTGCCTGCGCCTACACAGCCCACACTACCCCTTCCCGTAAAAACCGCCACATCTCCTGCATCCATATATATATGAAGACAACCCTCGATACTGTCTCTCACTTCGCATCGTTACCGTTGTGTTGCGCGACTCGTTCAATTTTCCAAGATCGTACCCCGTCGAGGAAGCGAAATCGTCGACTCGTTGGAAACACATCGATCCCATTTCTCTTCACAAAGTGAGTCCTTTGATTTCACTGTGCGTATTTTATTATCGAACTTCAATTTATGTTTTCTCTTTTGTTCCGTAAGATATTTATAATATAATTTCATATTTCCTTCATTCTTGTAGGATTGTTACCCTTTTAATTATATATAAAATATTTTCTTTTTTGTGTCTGCATTCTTCTAAAATGAATGCCAGGTTTCTGATTTATACATATAGAATATACATATGCATATCCGTGTTTTGTATGTGTTTCTCGTGTGCTATTGTAATGTTGTAACGCGTTCTCAATTGAGTGAGTTAGTGCAGACACGTGTGTGAAACTGTTTTAACTCATCAGATTAATATAATTAATATAAAAGGATATAAGCTTCTACGAATGATTTAAATAAAATTTTAAATGCAATTTATTTTAATAACTTAAGATAGTGTAAAAATAATGCGTTGCAATGTTTTTAAATGTACACCAGGAGGTTGATTTCGCGGTACAATTAACATATTTTTATGGGAGGACATGTTTTTGAAAATATCGGTTATACAAATTCATCAAATGTACCTACCATTTTGTATCTGGTCTATTATTTTTATTTATATTGATATTAGCTAACATTGCTGATACGTTAGAATTATATCTGTTTTCTCTGATAGCCTGGCGCAAATTGACAGAAGAAAGGAGAATGTAGGAATAATGAATAATGGATAGGACCATTTGCGAATTTATATTCACGTGATGTATTTTAAAAATTCTTTTTTTTGAAAATATCGCCTGGTATAAAAACATTTTTATTCTACTTTGACCCGAATTATATTATCGTTTCATTTTGACACAAAGAATCTTCGGTTAATCAAATCGATATTTCTTGGCTTATTCAGAACAGAAATGAAAGAAGATGTTAATTATCAGCAAACTCTTTGTTTCTTCTGATCTTTAATTTTTCTTTCGAGTTTTTTTTTATTTTTTGCAAATACGTTATTATATAGCTTGCAGCAAATTACATTTCCCATTTGAAGAATATCGAAAAATAATAATTAAAGATTTTACCGCGTCTCAAGAACAATTTATAGAGTGAATATTTTCATTTAATTTCATAATATCACTGAATTTTTGTTTATATTTCACCTATTATTAGTAATAACTGCGAATTCACGTTAACATGAATTTTTGCTGATCTGCTTGTCTTTCGTCGTTTCTTTCTACGTACAAATTCACATCACGAAATTTAATTATGAATTTTGCGAATAAAGTTATATCAAATATAAACGACACAGATATTGAAGTTATGAGAATAATACTGTGTTAGATAGAATCATCTCGTTTTTAAAGCCTTCATTAAAATGGATTGATTTTATTATTCTGCTTCATTTAGATTTCATAAATGTTCGCTTCTCAAGATGAATTACATTTCAATCGATATTTTGTGACAGTGGAATAGTAAACTACCCGATCTATTACTGTGCGAGACAAGGAAGACTCTTTGAATAACGAATTATTGTTCTAATCAAACAATGATCGAGTTTAAATGAAAAGGTTATTTGTGTCACTGTACTCGAACTTATGTTCTGTGGAAGCTGATAGTAATCGAGCGGAGACACAATTGTTAACCCTTACGCAGTTGCGCTAGCAGCGCTTTTGTCCGTTTAAATTGTGTAACGTAATGCATATGTATTATATGTAAGCATAAATAAAAAAAGTTCGATTATAAAATTTTTATTTCAAGGACGGAGTTTCGGATATATGTATATTTTACATTCACTACGTTAGTAATTAATATAGTCATTTATGTTAACATTAATAATAATAAAAAAGCAAATAACATCAATGGATTAAAGAAGAGCTCCGCGGAGAAGCGCGTAGAATCTCGGCTTTGGCGCCGGGGGTTGTGGTTTCAAATCCCGCTTGGGCCCTCATTTTTTCAAACGTTCCTACATATTTTATTCTTTATAATAAATTTTATACATATAGGTAGTTTCGAACTACGCGTGTAACAAAATTTTCGTACTTTCTGTATGATATTTCAAATAAAATTAGTATAATGACAAAATCTAGCAAATACTGATCTTTACTTTTCTAAAATTGTATCTGTGAGGTATGAAATTTTTTACGTAGTCTCTTGTGTTCTTTATGAGAAGCAAAAAATCTTGTTAAACGCTTGCCACTACAAAAGGGTGCAGTGCACCGTGTCATTTAATATCCATCTGACGGAAAATACAAAGTAATTACATAACCACGAGAAATAACATTCGTGTATGAACTCGTTGTTGAATATACGTAATGCAGAATAATTAATACTTATCCTTTGCGCAAATTAGATCTGAATTAATCAAGAAATTAGCATAAGGGGTTGCCGGTAGCTTGAAAAATTACATTACATGTATAGAAATGTTTGTACATACATTATAACTCTTTGCACTCCACTGACTCTACAACGACGACATGTATCGTCGCAATATGCAATTTCTATTTATTCAAATACAACCTAAATTAATGAATTGACTTCAAATTACATTCACTTACAGTTTTTTATTTTTCGCATTTCGAAATTGATATAACCAAAATATCTTACAGTCATTCGTAATAAAAGTTGGGGAGCAAAGTTCTATATCGCACCTCAAGACTGCTTTGTAGGTTTCAGACCTTCTTATAGCTATTTGTTCATAAACAATTATTTGTACAATCGCTAGCATTCAAGTACAGGGTGTACACAAAATTACGTTCATGGCGTCGTCTATTAAAGAAGCTCTTTTAACCCTTTCGGTACGGCAATACTTTTGACGAATGGGTCGCGTGTGCGTTAAAAAAGTGTCGTTATCGGATCAGAAAGTGCATTCGATTTTGAATTACAAACGTTCTTGCTGATCCGGCTGAAATTTCGCGACATTTTTAGACGTCACGGTACACGTAAATTACAGATTTTTATTTCTTTAATATTTATTCGAACTGCAAAATAATCGATTTCCAACGAAGTTTGAGGAGGAAGAAAGTGAAAATGGATTAGGAATATAATATATTATTTTCATTTCAGGACACCCAAATAAGATGTCAAGTAAATTCTATACAAAACCTATTTTGTTTCTTCTTATTGTGGGCTTCGTCTCTGGGGCAGAAAACTATATGGACTATGGAGGTACGTGGACTGAAAATCCGATGTGAAGTGGAAAGGCTGTGACTATAATACGTATATGTATACTTATTAACCAATAGCCACTATGCATTGTTAAACCATGTTTTAAAAATATTTCCTTCCTTCATAGTGTATGTTTGACCTAGCCTATACGAAAGTGAGGTGAATACTAAATGGACAATTTAGGTTTTTGTATGATTAGGACCTCGTATTACAATTATGGAAATTATAAAGGTGCTTCCTTCGGAATTTATATTGACCTTCCATTTATTATACGTGCATCTTCTTACTTTTTTAAGAATAAAAAACAAATTAATCGAAGTATAAAAGAAAATAGTTCTATTTAAAAAGAATGGACGTGATTTGCAAATTCCTTAAACGTCTCCACTTCCGGAGCAGATACATACATGTGCCATGTGATTCATCACACAACACCATTTAAATTTTGCCAATGAAATGGTTTTCCACCTCCTACCGTTTTAAAGATATATCTTGGTCCATTTGCGTGGGACACCCTGTATATACCTACATATACAGGGTATTTTACGTAACTTGACCACCTTAAATGTACCGCTTATTTTGTATGATAGAAAAAATATCAGGGGAGAAAAATATTCTGTTCGAAGGCGCCAATACGGTGATGGGCCGAATTTTTTTCTCAAGGTCATTTTTTTCGAGATTTCAAGGTCATCGAATTTTTTTTTAATGGGACTACATATTTTCACTACAACCTTCACAACAACTTCACTACAACTGTTATACCTTGATATACCATCAACTCCGCGAATTCAACGAGAGTTCGTTTGCCTTAGCTAGATCGACGAACTCTCGGCAAGTTCACGAACTGTTTCCCTCCTCAAAGAATCCGGAGAATTCTTCAAATGGCAACGAATGTGTTAACAAGACATTCGATAAAGGAAGAGATTTTCGTATGTTATCATAGGAAAGATCCGTGAATGAAACTGAAAGAGGGGATGAGAATCGAGGCAACCATCTCACGCAATTCGTCTATAGATACGTTTACAGTAATATGAAATACGGCGTAATTAATTGTAACATATTTACAATTTTCTCTGATACAGTTAACATTATCAATGAAATGTATACAATATGTCCGGTTTAAGTGTACAGACGCTATATTATTTCGCCAGCTACTCAAAATACGAAAAAATGTTTCACATGAAAGTTGTCTGATTTCATGGAGCAAACTTAATAACGTATTTGAATATTTTTAAATTGATATATTAATTTAAATCATAAATTTTAATAACAATGTATATTTTTCAATGGAACTACATATTTTTATTATCGCCATGTTATTAAGCATTTCAAGAGAAATTCAATAACATATTTGGAAGTTCTGTTTGAACAATAATTTCTCGGATAACTGTATGAACATATTATCTCGCGGATCACACGTTATGGGTACAAGATGCCAATCGATCTTGATATTTTCCAGCCCCCCTACCCAAACTGGTAGGTATCAAGTAGGAACTCTCATCGATACTTTACTATAATTAAAGTTTTATATTTCATTATATTTCAGATAGTCGTATATGCTATAAATACATAAAACCTGCAATCTAATGATAACATGTATGGACCCTAGAGCCAGAGTGTATTAAGTCCACTTTTTTAAAGAAATTACGTTTTGTTTCCCATATCAAATTTTTCACTCTTTCTTATGGTAAAAATTATTCCGTTTCAAGTCATTTTGTTTTTAATATAATAATGTAAAAATTATAGTAAGTTCATATTTTGTTCCCAGCCAAACAGTCTAAAGTCCACCACACACGGGACTTGCAATGCAATGTTCATCGCTTCTATATATCGAGACTTGTCTTAAATCCATTCAATAGTACGAAGGTAGCGATTATTTCTCGTTGAAACCTTACCGAACAACTCCAAAGTTACATTTAGATTTCGGCACCTTTGATTTGCTCTCCTTTAAAATTTGAAAAGTGTGACTTAACACACTCTGGCTCTGGGGTCCAGACATAGAGAAGATTGTGGTAACCTTTTAGTAGAACTGAAATTGCGGCATATCTAATAACTGTCAACTGATATTTCTCTGGGCGTTTGTTGTTCCCAGATGAAACACCCGAAAAAACACCAGCGGAAAATATTCACGAGCTCTACAGACTCTTAATGCAGCGCGCTGCACTAGACAATGCTAGATTTGGCGATGTTCCGTTGGAACATTTAATGATCCGTAAGTCTCAACGATCGCCATCCTTGCGACTTCGATTTGGACGTTCGGATTCCCGTCTACCCGTAAGACAAACAAAGTTCACTTCATGCGTTCACATAATATTATAAAATGTTTTATATGTTTATACATATGTACTGGAAAAATAATGTAGTTATATAGTAATAACTTATATGTTTCAGATTGGAGTATTGTCAAGCGCTATGAATAATATTGCATCATCGAGATTCAATGATTGATAAAATGGACACCTTTCTTCTAAATGGATATCGATCTTGTGTCTTCTCTACTATTTTTATCATAGCTACGAAAAGCATGGAACTTTTAATAACTGTATTTGTATTTGTATGGCATTACCACTGTCAAATACTTTAATTTTACTATTTTTCTTAACAACAGATAAACAAACAAACGAATATAAACTAGAAATGCAAATAAAATTCATTCTATTACTATTGATTATTGAAGGTAATTAAAATTCATGACAGTGTAAACGTACAATTTTCAAAATTGAAATAAAATATACCACTGATAAAGTCGAATCGCTATTTATTCGTTTTGTCAATAAGAAACGTTGTTTATCACTGTTAAGTAATCAGTTTATAATATATATGTATCTTTCTTCGTAAACATAATTATTACTTCGATTGTAAAGAATAATTTGTTTCAAGAGAAATATGTAAGGAGTGATGTACAATTAAACGGTAGAGTAGGAGACTGATGGCATTGATGTATTTATTACGTCAAAACATCATAATACATTTGTGTCACCTTAAATCCCAGGTAGCACACGACATCTTCAAGATGTCTGTTTTATAGCTGTTTTAGGTCTGAATGTCCTAGGACCCTAATAAAGATGTTTTAAAGCTGTCTGAAATAGGATATCCTAATGACGTATGAAATTCACGTCCTGGAGACATCTGCAAGATGTACCAGAAAACACGTATTTGCGATGTCTGAAATTCATGTCCTTCAGATGTCCTCAGGACATGTGACAGTACATTGTTGTTTGAATATTTGTCCTAAATAGTCTTTGAATAGAAACGACAAATGTAATTTAGTTGTTTACATTTTTCATTGAAGAATGTGCAACGTGCGTTGCCAAGACGGATGGGAATAGGCAATGCCGACTCAGTCGGTGTGCCAGGGGTCGGTTGCCGAAATGAATGAGTGAGATTTTCAGGCTGGATATCCACCCTTTATTTGGTAAAAATTGGTGCCTCGGGAGGCTATATACAATTGGAAGCGGTACGCGAAATATAATACACGGTGGGACGCGGAATATAATACGCGTAATACAATTATAAACAGAACGCGAAATACAATTATACGAAATGCAACTATCATATAAGCGGAACGCGATATACAGGGTATTTCACGTAACTTGACCACCTTAAATATATCGCTTATTTTGTATGATAGAAAAAATATCAGGGGAGAAAAATATTCTGTTCGAAGACGCCAATACGGTAATGGGCCGAATTGTTTTCTCAAGGTCATTTTTTTTCAAGATTTCAAGGTCATCGAATTTTTCTTTCATGGGACTACATATTTTCACTACAATACTCTTATAGCATATAAAATAACAAATCCAACGAGGTGCAATATGTTGACCTTCACGTGACCTTTAGCGAAAAAATCATGAAATGTTTGTCAGTAAGCTCAGTACGCGTTCGGGGACGGTAAATGAAGGAATTTCAATTTCATTGGAACAGTCTTTAGTTAAATCTTTATTTTAGAAGGTGTTCAAAATGTGCATCATGAATCTGGATACATTTTTGGAGGCGGTAAATAAATTCTTGCTGTACATTTTTAAGTTGCTCTGCAGTAATTGATCTACATTCATGTAGAACCCTTTCTCGCATGTTTTCTGCCGATGAAAGGAGAATACAAATGTCTGTTTACAAGCACCAGGGACAATTACACGGTACACTGTTCCAATAAAATTGAAATTCCTTCATTTATCATCCCCCAACGCCTACTGAGCTTACTGACAAACATTTCATGATTTTTTCACTAAGGGTCACGTGAAGGTCAACATATTGCACCTCGTTGGATTTGTTTTTTTATATGCTATAAGAGTGTTGTAGTGAAAATATGTAGTCCCATTAACAAAAAATTCGATGACCTTGAAATCTCGAAAAAAAAATGACCTTGAGAAAACAATTCGGCCCATCACCGTATTGGCGCCTTCGAACAGAATATTTTTCTCCCCTGATATTTTTTCTATCATACAAAATAAGCGATATATTTAAGGTGGTCAAGTTACGTGAAATACCCTGTATAATACACAGCGGGACGCGGAATATAACACGCGTAATACAAATATAAACTGTTACGCGGAATTTGATTTTCGGGCCCCGGACAACCATGTGGCCGTGGTCCGCCGGGAACAAAGCCCCTCTCTCGGTCACCGCAACTATCCGGCCTCCACAACTATCCGGCCTCCACGAGTTGAACGCCTGGTAGTCCCCGAATGCCGGTATCGGGCAGGGCTTCCGATACCTCCGAAATCTACGCAGGATCGAGACGACGAGAGAGTGGCGGTTGCCGGCTAGCAGGCACAAGGGTCGAGGTTCGCAAGAGGAGACTCTCCTCACGGCAGGAGGCGGTTCGCGAATGACTGAAGATCGTTATGCGTTAAATAAGACGTTTATTACGCCACGGGTCTATCCTAGAGGGTAACGCTAACAATAGATGGCCAACGATAACTAATTCGAATTAATAGTTTTGGTCCGGAAATCCGATACCCGTCGCAATACAAACTATTTAACAAGTGATTCTGTGGCGGCACGTGAACAAACGCGCCGCCTCATAGACGACGTGCCGATCAGCGCGTTGCGACAAGACACACTTCGGCTGCTCGGGCGAAAGTTCTCGGAACGGCGAGGACCGTCGTCTGTATACATTGTCGAATAATCGAGAACGTTCTCGTTCGATGCGTCAGACGACGGCCCTCTTGAAAAGCTGTTGTGGGACACACAAAAAGAGCAGTCAGGCCTCAAGTGTTGCCACGAGCAACAACGTTCCGAGCGATCTTAGACCAAAGCGTAATAAACGATTTACGAACGTATATGTGTGGATTATTTCACCCTAACGCCGAATTTCCCCACAATTCGATTACGGCGCCTCCGCGGGATGTTATAAGCGGTACGCTACTAGTGGAGGAACCCCGAGGAAATTCGCCCGCCCGCTACTCGCGGTCGCGAACTCGCAACTTCTCACAGAAGATGAGAAGTTGACCGGTGTTACTCGACTCTACGTTATCGCAATCAATTACAGGACTGCGATTCTTCAAGTATGTACTTACGTTCCGAAGCCACTCTGATTCTTTAATTGACCTGACGAAAGATTCTCCTTGGTCAACCCTCACCGGTGGAGGAAGAACCCAACCTCCTTTTCTGGTTATTACTGTCGCGGAAAAATTTGGAGAAGGAAAAAACAGTTCTTCGGATTAGCGCGGTGGGCTCCAGTACGTGTATCCCAAATGCGGCAGTTTATGATCATATTGTCCCACGAGTCGACGGCCAACAGACTACAGACGATTGGTTTAGGCCTGGCACAGTGGTGGGGGTAGTAGCCTGCCGCCGGCTAGACGGTTAATGCGAATTACCCTAGAAACTGACGGTTGCTTGACGGCGGCTAGCCTGCCGCCGGCTAAGCGGCTAGTGGGAATTTGCCTTTACTCGTTACAACTTTGGAGCTGTGTTGTGCTTTTACATTAATAGTTATTCAGTTTTTTTTTTACACGAATTAATTCTCTGGACTCTTTTCAACAAAATGATATAAATTGTTATTAGATTATGTCGCCGCCGTGTGTTTTGCTGAACCACTTCGCTACTCTATTGAAAACAAAACAGATTTTGTAACTTTCCTTGACACTTTCCTGAGCAGAAAGGTCTACTCTATCGCGTTCTACGGTTAGATTTTCTCCTAGACCTTCAGTTTTTGAAATAAATTGAAGAATATCAGCAAAAAGTGGTGCATTTTTGGTGTGCTTGTCACTTTGAACATTATTTAAACATATTTAGATGTCTATAATCTAATAACAATTTATATCATTTTGTTGAAAAGAGTCCAGAGAATTAATTTGTGTAATAAATAACTGAATAACTACTATTGTAAAAGCACAACATAGCTCCAAATTTGAAAATTTGCAATTTTTTTCAAATTTGATTTTTTCACAAACTGGACGTGCTGGAAAGAAACGGTTTGCAGATTCGTATTTAACTCATAAGGATCTATCAAAAACGCTTATTGACAATTGCAAAAATTTGTACGTGTTGAACAGTGTAATTTTGAATCGAAATTTAATTGAAATTCTAACAATTATTTATCAATTGATGATTAGTAATTAATGTTTATAATCAACGATTGACGACTTCATTAATTGCTTAAATTAATCGTGATTTTTTATGATTACTTTTTTTAACCATAAGCATTAATCAATCAACGAAATTAAAAATTTCAGTCGATTAGGTCCGAACACTGCTCGAGAAAATCGTATGTCCCAGCCTTTCGAATTCTCAGGATATGTATGTGTGCAGATTGCTTGACGACTCTAGCATAAATCGTCCGACGAAAACGGCAACGTTCGTCGCATCATCCAACGACAATGTCGTACGTCTCTCGTGTGTGGTTTTCAATGCCAAACAATATACCTCTACGTCGTCCGTGACATTCGTCACTCGAAAATCGTTCTCCTGCGGTCCAGTCGACGGCCGGCACGACGTTTCTCGTGTGCGCCTACAATGTAACCCTATGTATTTATACAATTGTCCATCTCGTGTCGTCCGATAAAAACGCTCGCGTGGCCCCGGCGTAACACTTGGCGTTTGGGATCGATGCGTCGTTCCGACGATTGTAACTTTTGTAACATTGTAAGGTAATTGACCCAGTTGTCGATGAAGACCCAGTTCTCGATCATTTTTATAAATGCATAGCATTTTAGGTTCAGAATTATTGTTTACCAGTTTGTGAGCTTTTTTTATAACTCCCTTTTTCTTGGTCGACTATTAGGACAATTACTAATCGACAAGTTCCGACCGTAAATTAGTGATCGACGTCTTATTTACATTCGCGATCACACTATACATACATAGTATCAGAAAAATGCTCGTAATTACATTGGTTTCTCGGTACTATAGTGATTGCAGTACCATATCGGTTTCGATCTAACTTCGCTGACATAATATTGGCTTTAAATAATTGCTTATAAATATCTTGAAAATTGTAATATTACAAAAATTACCGGTAAAAGGTAAATATACCGGTATTTTCGTATTTCGGTTTCTATAAGGGTTACGAAGGTACAACCGAAAAATACCGGTATAATACCGGTATTTTACGTTTCGATAGAAGTCCCTTGTTTTAAGACATCTTCAAGACAACTCGTTTTTTCACAAGACACGCTCATAGGCTCTAGATAGGCTATTCATAGGACATTACCAGACGGTTTCAAGACAACATGAACGTCTGAATACAGACATTTTCAAGGCAGTCACAAGACATATGTGTGCTATCTGGGATACTACGTTCCATATTGGTACTTAAATATTAACCAAAAATTTATCTACAATTCCATAGCCATCTATTTCTACATTTGGCTTGGTTATTCCAGGCAGAGCCTGTTTGACAGAATCGTGAAGCAGATTGCTATTTAGGTTATGTTACAGGATCCGCTGCCAATTTTCCGCTAATCTGCACGCAAATTGTTTATAGCAGATCCTGCATCAAATCTGTAGCCATTCTAGTTACAAAAGCTTATAACAGGCATTGGATAAAATCTGGCTGACCAGGTTCATTGACGACCATGATTGTGATTTTTTTTATCTCGAGTGAACTTACACACTGTGATCGTGATTCATCTTCAAAAGAAACGTATTCAATATAATTTTAAAATGAACCACATTGCTATTTGTATTTTTAAAAATTAGTAGGAAAGACAAGAAATTCTAAAAGAATGGTTTCTTGGGTAACATATAGATTATAATTTTTAATCATTAATTCATTATTTTTCATTGTTTCTCATTATTTCTTCACATTTTGCGTGTGTACCTCGCATTTTTGTTTTGGTGTCGTTAATATAAAATATGCAGGTTATGTGACGCGTGCAAAGAACTATTATTATGTTCTCCAACAATCAGAAACGATCTCGAAAAATCACGGTGACTGGGAATGAACGTGATCGAATCGCTCGTGGTTGACAAGCAGTAGTTCACGCCATCTCTAGTCCTAAGTACCATTTTCAAGCATCAGAGAAAAATCAGGTTTTATAATTTCCTTTGTGCTGTCCTTGTTTTTTGTCATAGGATATTCTAATATAATTAATGGTTGAAATCATCTGTATTTTAATTTTTTTACACAAAATGTGAACAGAATACTCATCCTCGTCATTATTATTGTTAGAAACTGTTAATGATTTCCAAAAAGCAAGGTGGTTTGCTGGCATGATTGACTTCAATTTCATAATTAAATTTTGTTTCAAATGATAACTTAGGACCATTTAGCATATCCCTGTTGGTTAGGATTAGAATACACTAACAGTATTCCCTGCTTGTCGTAAGAGGCGATTAAAAGGGACACACGGGAGACGTCTTTCCACCCCCGCGTAGGGTGGAACGACGTCATTCATACTGGGAGACATATCGGTGACCGGTCACCCTCCCCGAAGTTTTGTTTGCACAATTTCGGGGAGGCTGTTGTGGGTTAGGATGGTGGGTTTGAAAAAAAGAAAAACAAAAGGACCATTTAGCTTAGTAGATGTTACATATAACAATATTAGCTAGTAAAGTTATCTGAAAAGCAGTTAAGTCAAATAAATTAGACTGTGTATACAGCCCTATAAAGTACCAAGGGCATTCTAAGTTTAATTAAAAAGTGGATAAATATGTGGAGCCCGAAATATTTTGAAAAATTTTGTAAAACAATAATTTGTTAGATATGACATTCTAACTAAGGAAGGCAGTATGAACTTTTTCATAAAGAATACTTTAAATTATTACTTCCGTCTACTTAAATTTTATTTCTCCTGAAAAACGTTTACAAAGTTTCAGTTATTTGAAGTGTGTCGTTTTCGTAGAAGAGCAAATCTTCTTAATACAATGCATTGCTTCTCTATCTGCGTGCGTTAATTCGCTAGGATTTTTGAATTCCGGACGCAATAATATTTGGCTTCGAGCACGTTCCATCGTAATGGAAAGAGGTATCGTCAGAGCCTTACTCCAATTTGTCCTTTCGTATTCAGTAAGAAACTATAAAAGAACATAATAATATTGTTTAATTCAAAATAATTACCTCTGTGAATAATTCTGCTTTATTATGCCAGTATCATACTCAATACAACTGCTAGAGCAATTAATTCAAAACTAATGGTTGTGTACCAAAGTAACATTTAAATACACACCATCGTCCAAAAGTATTTGGACAGTTCGTTGAATCCAATTAAGGATATTATTAATTAACACAAACACATATTTCAGTTAACCTCGGAAGCAAAATATCAGGGCATTCTATAAATAACATCGTCTCTAATTTTACATTAACTAAAAACATGCAGTAATTTCTTGACGAAAAAGTTGCAAAATTAAAACTGAAATCAAGAATGATGAAATTCTGTCCGAGGTTTCATGTCGGAGTTAGTAATTGTTGAAAATGTAGGCAAAATATATGTGTAATACGCGTGAATTTAATCATTCTCGATTTCTGTCCTAGTTTGGCATGTAGAATTCACATTGGGAAGGTGTCTCACATTTTTTTGGATATCTGGTAAACATTAGCCTGTGTTACTAAAAATGTGGAGATACAAATGGTTATGCTATAATACTATGATTCCGTAAGAGATTCTGCTTTTGAAAATTTGCTCTGACTTATTTTATATTAGAGTGGAAATAAGTGATTCCTTAGAGAAATCCTTATGAAAAAATAAGTGATAAGTGCGAAATAGAATTTTTGTTCGAGGTTTTCAAGAAAATCGATTTTAAAAATCTGTTGGAAACGCGCGTGTTTAAGTAGGCAAGCATCCATTTCCATTATGTACGACTCCTATTTATTGTAAACACCAATACACATATATGTATATTAAATTAATTTTCAAAATCGATTTTTGTCGAAGACTAACAATAAGCATCGAACCAAGAAGTTTTATTAAGCACTTATGATGTATCTTTTTGTGAGGAATCACTTGCTATCTGACATTTATCACACATACATATAACTTTGTCATCATGTGTCGTAGAACACAATTAAACACTGACCTGATCAAACGTGGTGTCTTCGATGTGAAACATTATGTATGTTAAGGGCTTCACAAGAGGATTTATTTCTGGTATATTCGTTAAACACTTTGGGACGTCATTCTTGCGTAGATTGTTCAATAATAAATCAGATGCACGGATTAAATATTCGTGTGTTACCTGAAATTTCAAAATCAAAGAAAATTAAGAAAAGGACGAATTTCAAATTCTAGTAATCTCCACCATAGTCCTTGATTCCGAACGGGTCGATGAATCCATCGTTTGTTTACAATTCTTTGACGATTTGTTCAAATTATATTAAGATATTGTGGTGGTGCAATAGTAGAACTTTATTCAGTGCTTTACCAATTTTCTGCTCTCGTTAACTTAAAATAAGAAGTCAACTTTTTCTGTATTATTTGACGACCTTTTTTGGCAACCGATCAACGACAGTAAATAAACTGCGCGATGAAATACACTGATACATTCTAAAGGAAAGAATTGTGGGGTTGCAAGAGGCCTACGACTTTGTTATAGCGCTGCGTGGTGACCTCGCACGGCGACGTATCGCCTGTTTCGGTTAGTGACGGTTAGAAGAGAAAGAGGGGGGGGGGGGGGGGGAGAGAGAGAAAAGCGAAATGCGTGAGGCCTGCGTGTCGCGCTGTATGAAACGAAGGCAGTGTTGAATGTGGATCAGAACGGAAAAGAAGTAGGATTGATAGACTTTGTGAACAATAGCGTAGAGTGGTTATATTATATACTTTTGGTCTTGGCCCATTTTATATGCAGTCAAATAGAGTTTATTCTTTTAAGTACACTTTGCTCCTTCTGATTCACGAAGCCTATCTTAAATCCCACAGAATGGATAAATCAGAATGGAAAAAAGTGATCTATTCAATTAAAGCTACGCTTTTTGTTTTTACCTTTAAAGCTTGCCGTCCGGATTCAGTAAACAATAATTCATCGGTGCACATTTCAATAATGGAAGGCATACTTGTTAGTTCTTTAATACCAGGTGTCGTATTCGTCCTTTGAATGCTAAAACATTGATGTCATTTAATTTATGTCAACCCATTCAATCAATTAGTATTAACGAGAAGAAGATCGCAAGTGAAAACTCGCTTTATTATAATTTTAAAACACATCCCCCTCGATGAAGTGTTTAGGTTTCGAAATAACTGAAAGTAAAGGTGAAAATTTTCTGAATTTTCTACGAAGAAAAATTAACAAAAATTATGAACCATAATTCGTGATTATTGAGAAGAAACCGGGTGGCAAGCGTTTGTCCATGGCGGAATACGGCCGCACAGCCGGCCGTACCACCCTTAAAAAGAATATACGAGACAAAACAAGTAGTATAGCTAGGCCGGTTCTGGACCACGGATCGAACGGAAATATCGTTGATAACGGTATTGTACTCGTACATATCGCAGACCTGATCGGCTCCAACGGAAAGTTCTCACGCTATTGTACCCGTACATAAGCCAGACCTGGCCTTAATACAATTTTTGGAATTATTATGCTATCGGACTCGTACCTACAGCAATCCAAACCCGACTCCAACGGAAAGTTGTCACGTTATTGCACTCGTACATAGCCAGACCTGACCTTGATAGAATTTTTGGAATTATTATGCTGTCGCACTCGTACCTATATATGCTTTCGACATCGACGTCCGGCCCAACCAAAATCGAGATTTCCCGCCGTTTTAGGACGCCACGTACTGTTATTTGGCCTACCCTATTGCAGGCATAGTGTCCTGAATGACGTCATTGACGTGATGATACGGGATGTATCTGTTGGGGTTAAAAGAATGTTTAAGTCAACAGTTCGGGTAAGTGTTGAAAGAAACGCGGATGAAGAACAAATATTACTAATTTAGAGAACTTACCCATCACGCCAGGTGAATCCATGAACCTTCCGGGTTGCCCATATACAATTCGTCAACTTGTCAAATTCTAATAAATGCATGGCATATGGGGGCATGAACACCCAATGCCCCATACGATTGTTGTTAACCCCTTCGCACCGGTGAACCAGATATCTCGCCACGTATTTCGTTCATGATATGCTTTGGACGATCTTGTAAAAGCATATCATGAACGAAATCACATGGCCAGATGTCTCATCCACCGGTGCAAAGGGGTTAATCAGTATGGCAACCTCCTTAACGATAAAGCAGTTGTCCACCCAAAAGCCAAGGATATCTATTAATGCAGATTCCATTTTTCAACGATGCTGATGAACACTGACTAAAACGGTAGTACACACTTTAACGTAACTGTTCGGGTGCGTCTCACAAAGTGAGCTGCTGCCTTTAAGTACACGTTGCCCAACCATGGAATTATCTTGAAAGCGCACGGAGTAGCAAAAACATGGTACAGTTTCACAGCATTGAATGCGTGATGATTATATCTATATTCACAATATCACCCGCGTCTCGTATTATCTAACGTTAAGATACAGCATACAGGTCGAAAGTTTTGAGAACTTAATATTGTATATGCTTCGAATTTTGCTCATCGAACGGCGGGAACGGTTGATGACGAATTGTTCCTCCCCCCTCCCCCGCTTGCTTTCTCATGAGATGTAGCATATGCAGCTGTTATCATAGGACGATGTCAGTAATGCGACTATCTTCTTAACAGGACTTTTGCATTCATTCGATATAGATTTTATTGGATACTTGGAGACTTATTAATGTCAAATAAATAATTTGAAAGACTACGATGCATCGTTATGTAGGTATCGTTCTTATCGTCACGAGTCGGAATGCATCGAGTGGTTTGTGAATTCATGGTTGTGAAGGAATTGCATGAGTTGGGCTGTAGGATAAAAACGGTGTTTGAAAAGACCGTTTATGTTCGATGAAATACGCTATGAACTCGATGGGGTTGAAATCGATCGCACTAGAAATCCAGGTTTAACAACTATATCAAACAACTATTTCAGTATGTCGAAGGTCCTGACTGGGACGTAGTGGGGCAGAGTTCACGGACAAGGTAGAATATGGTTGGGTAAAATACCCACGGGAGGCATGGAGAGGATAAGCGCTTGCGCGGTTGTCCCACGATTCTGGCATCACTGTTGATCGCATGTTACAGTATGAACGCGTGTAAAAGGTGCAGTGTGTTGTTGAGCTAAAACTATTATTTTATTGTGTTTATTTAAACAGTATTTAATAGTTTTGTTTTTTTCTTTTTCTTTTAATAAATATTTTTCAGTTTCATAAAATTATTGTCTCGTTTATTATTTCCCCTTCTCACTTCGTTTAATCTTGTACGAAGCGTATTAATAAAAAACTGGTACCTATTGCATTTCTCTCTCATTCTTATCGCCCGACCGGTTGCGGTAACTTGAGATGACTGATCTTTTTCACCATCATTCCTCCTACTACGTCATCACCTTCTCCATTCGTACCGAAATATCCTGCTATCAGCCTGGCACGCGACTGTGGTGCTGTACGAGGAATGGTGGGGGGCTGGGGGGTAAACATATAGCATCTGACGAGCAACGTATACTTTACGAGATACCCTTTCCCATGTCAACGTGGAAAAAGCTGTTACGAACAAAAGCGGACCTTCAACGATTGTTGCTGACCACATCATCGCTAACCGAAATCGTAAAAATCGGTAATACCTTAACGCTACAAGTCAGTATGTTTAACGATATGAAAAACATAAAACTTACTGATTCTGTTACTTCTATATTCATTACCGAAAGGACTATGTACAGAAGATACGATTTCGAGTATTGTATAGACCATATGTACTCATGGTTGTCGGAGAACATTCTTATGATTAAATATAAGTTCGCAAAATTCGATGAAATTGTGACAGAAGCGAGTACGAACGATCATGTAAATGCGATAATAATGTCCGATGAATATTTTGAAAAGAACAGTTTGATCGATTGTGAACTATTGGCTCTGTGTTTAAATACAATCTTGTACAAAGCGTATTAATAAAACAACTGAACAGCATATGTACCTATTGTAGTTTCTTAACAAAACTTATTCTTATCCCCGACCGGCTGCTGTAACTTGAGATATGTTTCGACGTGTCGATGCATGATCTTTCTCACCGCCATTCCTCCTTCTACGTCATTTTCGTCGCTTTATCATCGTTGCTCGGCCGGCCGCTGTAACTTGTGATGATGCGTGTCGGGACACAATCTCCCCATACCAACTACTACGCCGTCGCTTATGAAATTCAATCAACGTTAGGTCAGGCTAATGTACGCGCGCAATAGCGTATTAAAATAATTCATCATTTTATTAAAACTAAATTTCCATTGTGGAATTGGGTTATGTCTGACTTATGTATACTTGCAATAGCGTAATAATTCCGAAATTCATCATTTTATTAAAACTAAATTGCCCTTGCGGAATCCTGTGATAGGTACACTTGCAATAGCGTAATAATTCCGTAAATTCTATCAAGGTCAGGTCTGGCTTATGTACGCGTGCAATAGCGTGAGAACTTTCCATTGAAGCCGGTCAGGTCTGCGATATGCACGAGTACAATACCGTTATCAATGATATTTCCGTTCGATCCGTGGTCCAGAATCGGCATAGCTATACTACCACAACATAATAAAACCAGTGTTCATCAGCATCGTTGAAAAATGGAATCTGCATTAATAGATATCCTTGGCTTTTGGGTGGACAACTGCTTTATCGTTAAGGAGGTTGCCATACTGATTAACCCCTTTGCACCGGTGGACGAGATATCTGGCCATGTGATTTCGTTCATGATATGCTTTTACAAGATCGTCCAAAGCATATCATGAACGAAATACGTGGCGAGATATCTGGTTCACCGGTGCGAAGGGGTTAACAACAATCGTATGGGGCATTGGGTGTTCATGCCCCCATATGCCATGCATTTATTAGAATTTGACAAGTTGACGAATTGTATATGGGCAACCCGGAAGGTTCATGGATTCACCTGGCGTGATGGGTAAGTTCTCTAAATTAGTAATATTTGTTCTTCATCCGCGTTTCTTTCAACACTTACCCGAACTGTTGACTTAAACATTCTTTTAACCCCAACAGATACATCCCGTATCATCACGTCAATGACGTCATTCAGGACACTATGCCTGCAATAGGGTAGGCCAAATAACAGTACGTGGCGTCCTAAAACGGCGGGAAATCTCGATTTTGGTTGGGCCGGACGTCGATGTCGAAAGCATATATAGGTACGAGTGCGACAGCATAATAATTCCAAAAATTCTATCAAGGTCAGGTCTGGCTATGTACGAGTGCAATAACGTGACAACTTTCCGTTGGAGTCGGGTTTGGATTGCTGTAGGTACGAGTCCGATAGCATAATAATTCCAAAAATTGTATTAAGGCCAGGTCTGGCTTATGTACGGGTACAATAGCGTGAGAACTTTCCGTTGGAGCCGATCAGGTCTGCGATATGTACGAGTACAATACCGTTATCAACGATATTTCCGTTCGATCCGTGGTCCAGAATCGGCCTAGCTATACTACCAAAACATAATAAAACCTAAACTAACTACTAATCTAAACCTAAATACTACTAAAACATAATAAACAAGAATAAACCTAACGAAACTACGTACGAGTGTGGCTTATTTTGTGAGTTTACAGAAATATGAAACATTAAGGAGTACCTTACTTTTCATTAACGAGTTGAAAAAAATCGTCAATTTGAGACGTGTGTTTATTGTCCTCGTCAATGCTGCAGATAGCTTCAGCCAAGGTGGTCACAACTGATGATGTATCACTGGATTCGAATAAATTTAATTCCCGATACGTTTCTTTGGGACTTCCACTAAATTTCGTTTCCAGTTTACAGTTGGTAGAAAACTCCAGAAGGGCGGTATAAAGAGATACACAGAGAATATGGAAAAGAACGTTACCACTGATTGGGTGACAATGGGCGGGGACAGTATCGTTTAACGCCAGTGCAGTCTTCAAAATCGCAATTGGTAACGTTACATATAATTCGGTGAAACAGCCGATTACTAGCGACATTGCTTGATAGATGCTAGCTCCTGTCTGAAATTTATAAATATAGTTATTGTAAGATGTACATTTATCAATGCCTTAATTCCTATTATAACGCCTTTATATCATAATTAACACCTTTTCTTCAGTATGCAATTTTTTCTGAGAAATTTTGATTATGTTATAAAATTTTTAATTCAATGGAATACTATTCCCAGCAGAAAGTATTTGACCAACTAAAATATTACTATTAAACTAAAAATCGTTGTTTATATCTACGAAATATAGAATGAGAAAATCAAACAATGACCATAGAAAGTGTACGATTAGTGTTACTACTGTTATTTCTGTTCAGAAAATTAATTTCTTAATACTTTGTCAGTCATTACATGCATTGTCGTAACTAGGTAGAGGCTGGGGGGGGGGCTACCCTGAACCTGATGTGAAATCAAAGAGACCCTAACGATAAAGTCACGTGTGGACAAACCTCATTCGAAATCAGGTAACTGCAGGAAGGTAAAAATTGTGAACGAATCAGATGAGGAGTCACAAGGATGAAATATTCAGCGATTAGCTGAGAAGCTGCGATGAGGATGGAAAATCTGTACGAACGATTCTGTTGCGAAATCAAGGAGCTGTTAGGATGCGAACGAACCTGATGTGAAATCAGGTGGCCGCAGGATAGGTCAAGTTTCGTGGACAAATCAGATGCGAAATTAGAGAGCCACTATGTTGGAAAACTTCCTTATAAAAATGCAGTTCTCACTGTTGAGGCTTTCGGATGTAAGCCGTGTCCTTGTGGAATTGTTTTCCCAACGCTTCGCAAGCATTACAGCTAGCTTCATCAGGGGGTCGAAGACACACTGATACTGGTGTGCGTCTTATGGTGCTCCTCTAATATACTGGAGCTTGGTCATGTTCCGGTTCATTGCTTACCAATCAAAAGAAAATTTTTTCATTGGTCAGCTGAACAATTAAAAAAACTGGGAGAAGAGAGCTCCAGATTGGGTTCAGTTGGTATCCTGTATCCCTGTTGATGTTATTAGGGTGTTTTAGTATTTCCAACGTTTCCTTGTATTTTCTGGGAAAGTATCCTTTGGTCTTTGTTATTACTTTAGATTCGTTGAAAAGTATTTTGTGTCCTGTTGTCTTCTGGTGTTCTGCAACAACTAATTGAACGTAGCCCAATCTGGTGCCTCGCTCGTGTTCCTTGAGTCGTGTGCTCACACTCCTCCCGGTTTCGCCAATGTACACTTTACCGCATAAGCAAGGTATTTTGTAAACCCCCGCCGATGAAAGCTGCGGTTGCGGATCTTTGGGCAAGGCGAGTATCTGTTTGATTTTGGTATGGGTAATAAAAATGGTTGTAATGTTGTGTTTCCTAAGTATTTTGCTTATGCGGTCGGTAGTGCCTTGTATATAGGGCAGGAAGGTGGTGTTCTGTTTGTCGTTATTGTTGGAGGTGGACTATCTATCTTTCAGATGCATGATTCTGTCTATTGTGCGATTTATTTTAGTTCTGGTGAGACCGTTCTGTTGCAAGGTGTTTCTAATATGGTTAAGTTCCTGAGGTAGGTGTTCTTTTTCACTAATGCTGATGGCTCGATGTATTAAGGAACTGATCACTGAATTCCTTTGGGCCGGGTGATGATGAGAAGAGGCGTGTAAGTATCTATTAGTATGAGTGGGCTTTCGATATACTTGATGTCCTAGGGATCCATCCGCTTTCCGTGTTACCAGTACGTCGAGGAAAGGTATAGTGTGTTCTTCGATTTCCGTTTCCATGGTGAATTGTATCTTAAAGTGTAGGGAGGTGATATAGTTGAAGAAGTCATTAAGAGTATTCGTGCCATGACTCCATACTCCGAACGTATCATCTACATATCTAAACCATTGTGATGGTTTTAATGGAGCTTCTATGAGGATTCGTTACTCTACATGTTCCATGTAGATATCAGCTATGATAGGGGAGATGGGTGATCCCATGGCTGTTCATGATACTTGCTCGTAGTAGGTGCCCTAGAAGAGGAAGTAGGTGGAAGTGAGGCAGTGATGGACAAGAGGTATAAGGTTGTCCGGTATTTTGTCCTTGAGGATGTTGATACTGTCGTCGATGGGGGTCGCCGGAGCCGATTAGCGAGACCGGAGAGAAGTCGGACGTGTCGTCCAACCTCTCCGTGCGGTCGTCAGGTTCCGACGTCGCCGGAAGTAACTGGAGGGGCATAGGCGCTAAAAAGCGCTCGAGGGAGGTAGCCTCGGGAGAGACCGCTGGACTATTGTCCAAGTGGATCCTCCTGGGGGCGGCCAACTTCGAGCTGCAAAAGAAGGCGGAAAGGAACCTGGCGGATCCGGTGGTAGATGCGCCGCCAGTCTCCAAGACCTGTAAGCCTTTCCCCAAGGCCAAGGAGGTGGCCGCCAAACTACGGGACGCTCCCGCAGCCGACATCGCAGAACTCATCGAGTCGAAATTGGTGGTGGTGGAGAAAATTGCCCAAACAAGCAATAATTTCAAAGGGACAAGTGTACGAATGCTGAGGGAAGCTTCGGCCGCGACGGCCGAACAGGCTGTTAGGGCGGGGAAGACATATTTCATAAAGAAAATGCACACACGTATAGATTAGTGGGCACGATCTACTCTAAATCGTCTGTAACTATTTGTAAATTCATTACTTCGCTAAACAGAATAGACTAAAGTACTAGCGTTGGATTCATTTATGGCCCATCGCGTATCCCAGGGGAAGTGATTGTGCGAACGCGGTCAAGTCTCTTCTTGAGACCGGCTAGCAAGGCCTCCCCATGTACATATGCCGGAGCATCGGTGTGTGCAGCTTCCTCCTTATCCTATGGTACAGGGGGTGGTAACCTGATAATGGGTAAACAGGGGGGGGGGGCTCCTGAATTATTCGGGACATAGGCAGGTTCGATAGGAGGTTGAAATAGGCGACTTAGCTCTCTCCTGCAATGGCGTTACGACGAAGACTTCCCCGTGTACAGACTCGGTCTGTGGGTGAAGCAAAGAATCAGCTGGTACTCACTTCTGGAGACGAAGGATCGGTTGCCCCAACGTCAAACTCCATACATTTAGCTGAAACAGAAAACAGAGATTAGGTAGGGATGGGACGATCCTAATGACTCACCACCTCTGGACGAGTACTACCGTACCTACATATGACCCGGGCCTAGAAAAGTTGGATCGCTAGGAAAACCAGGGTAAACGATTCCCCGGGTAACGTCGACCGTAGTCCCACGGGCTTTGAGAAAGCAAAGACGCAAAGAGACAAGCCTTGGGGGAGGTACCGAAATCTGCTCTCCCGGGTGACTCTGTGCAACTAATCCTCCACTAATCACTAGTATTACCGGTAAGGGCTGTGAAGATAGATGTGAGGTATTTTGCCAGGTTGTAAGTAGGAGATCCGATGGTGCTGACTATGGGTCATACTGGAATATCCGGTTTGTGTATTTTGGGGAGTCAGCACAATCTAAGTGCCTTTCGTTCTTTGGGCAGCATTGTCTTCTGTATGTGGTCGGGTAGTTTGGCCTGTTTGGATATTGTTCTGTATGTGTCGTCGTTGAGTAAATTTTGTGCCTTACTTATATATTCGTCCTTGCTGATCACTACTATCGTGTTGCCCTTGTCTACAGGTAAAATTAGGATGTCTTTATGTTGTTTTATTTCCAACAGTGCAATCCTTTCAGCTTTGGTTAAGCTGGAGTTGGGAGTCTTTGCCGATTTTAAGGCGTTGGTGGTGAGCCTTCTGACTTCGTTAACCATTTCTGGCGGTAAGTTGTACATGGCATTTTCAACCTGGCTGATGATTTTTTCTGTTGGAATAGTTCTGGGTGCAATGGCAAAGTTATGTCCTTTGGATAGGACAGTGTATCAGAGGATAAGGGAAGGTTAGTGTGGTTTTTAACAGTGTCCTTCAGTGGTTCGACTTTAGTTTTAGGCTTCAACAGTTTGTTGAACTTCTCTTCTTGTTTTTGAGTGCGGATGGTGTGTACTCTAAAGGCCTGCTCATAACTGAGTCGATCTACTTTGTTCCACAGTTCTGGATTAATATGGTTGCTTGACTCAAGGGATAGGTATATGAGCTTGTTGGATATGCGGGAGATTACCTTCTTGATGCAGCCAATTCTTTCTCGCAGTAAGGCAAAGCATGTACGTTCTAAGGTGCGTCTGGATTTGGTTGTGGTGATGTTGTGTTTGATTTCGAGGAAACGGGTCACGATGCTCTGGTCACGGCACCGCTTCAAAAATATCAAGGTACAAGGATGTTGTTGGATAATTTTTCAGAATTTGGTCAGCTGAAGAATTAAAAAATTGTCTTTTGATTGGTAAGCCATGAACTGGAACTGGACCAAGCTCCAGTATATTAGAGGAGCCCCACAAGGCACACATCAGTATCAGTGTGCCTTCGACCTCCTGATGAAGCTAGCTGCAATGCTTGCGAAACGTCGGGAAAACAATTCCACGAGGACACGGCTTACACCCGAAAGCCTCAACAGTGAGAACTGTATGAAGCCGGGCCGTGAAAGCCTCAAATCTCACTTAGAAAAATGGAACGTACGGACGAACCGGATGCGAAACAAGAGAACTGCAGGAAATGTTGGTTAAGCCTCGTAACTCGCTAAATAAAATTAAATACAACTCGAGCGGTAAAGGTGTTTCGTGTGGGAACGGTCAACTACGACTATAGCAAATACCAAACCAATGGATTTCAAGGATCAAATTACTCGAGTTTATTAAGTGTAAGATTGTCGCGGTAAATGATTTAGTGTAAAATTACTAATTTGATGCTCGGTGTTAAGGCACTGGTAATGTAGGGACCAAGAGGGATTTAAATTATTGAGGGGCTCAATGGAAAAGGGGCACATACCACATATATGTCGATTTTTAGTTCTTTTGCACCATCAACAAGTTCCAGAACCAAAGCTACATGCTTGGAACCGTGTCTTTTTTAAATGAAAGATCTAAGAATGAAGAAGAAATGATGGACTTTGTGGAAGAGTTAGATAAGGAGTTCAAAATTAGTACAGAACCAACCTTGAGGTCTTTTCTCTTTCTTAAATAACAAATAATTTTTGTTATGATTTAGTTCGGAGGAAAGTAATTCGTTATTTATGAATAACATCGGTTTATATGCAACATTTATTCGAATTATTAAACTTCCAGAGGATCAGTGTGTTGTTGAAAAAAATTGACCACAGGTCAGGGCATACATGTCCCGCCAGTTCCATTTTCGTTGCGTTCACAGTAAGTTATATAAACTGATAAAAACTACTATACTAGGTAGTAGCATTACAACAAACAGAAATAATAATAAATATACATTCATAACTTACCCTTACGGCTTCCAACAGGATTTCAATAATTGGCGGCATCATGTCCTTTAACGGTTTCAGAATTGCATGCAGCCATGGCGGCCTACACTGATTCCAGACCTACATAAGCGGGAAATATCAAAATTCTTATTGAAGTTACATTCTTTCAAGTTTCACCTATAGTCCAGTCAAATTAGACTTCAAAACCCTCATTTTAAAAAATAACTTTAAATAGCTATGTTTTTACATGAAAATGTTCGGAAAGTCATTAGAAATGAAATGTATACGTTTAAGATTCAAGAAAAGTTGGGGAACGGTGTTAAAAGAATTTGAAAATATTTGAGAAACATGTTTTTCGCTTGCAGAATGACATGTAAAGATTTTAGAGAAAAAGAGGTCAAATAGTAAATTTAGGTATTAGAAATACCTACAAAGTAAGATATAGTACGTTAAAATCGGTCCACGCGTTAAATTGCAGAAGAATTAAAACTGCCGAAATAGGCTGTTTTTTCAGTTGTTTAATACTCCAAAGGATTTGACCATACAGGTTTGAAATTTTAAGAGAATGTGGTCCTCGGATATGGAATTTGTTTCGTTCATTCAGTATTGTTCGAGATTAGGCTCGAACAAGAAATTCGAAGGAGCGCCTTCTTGGTTTATAACGAACAATTAACAGTTTATTGTGACAAAACTGTACATAAATAAATAAATATAACAAAACGATCACGAGTAGATAAACTATACTGAAGAAGGACAACCACGCCCGTTGCTTCCACGTGTCGCTGAATTAACGGTTTTCGCTCGTTCTTCGCGTTTGAAAGTAATATGATAAAAGTGTGCAATGAAAAGAGGTTCTGAGAATACAGGATATAACAGGAGTATTAAACAATTGAAAAAACAACATATTTCGACAGTTTTAATTCTTTTGCAACTTAACGTGTGGACCGATTTTAACGTACTTAAACTCACTTTGTAGGTATTTCTATACCTAAATTTTCTATTTGACCTCTTTTTCTCTGAAATCATTACATTTTCTTCTGTAAGCAAAATACATGTTTCTCGAATCTTTTCGAATTCTTTTAACAATGTTCCCCAACTTTTCATGAGTCTCAAACGTATATATTTCATTTCTAATGAATTTCCGAACATTTTCATGTAAGAACATAGCTCTTTAAAGTTATTTTTTGAAAGAAGTCTAATTCCACTGGTCTACTAGTACCTGTTGGCGATCCAGGTAATTCGACCATTCGTGGTTTTGCCTTAATCCAGACACAATAAGATGATCAGGTTCTTGTGCTATACAGGTCAGAATGTGCATTAGGCTGTACTGGCTCAACGCCGATGTTAGTTTCATGTAATGATTGCATGCCATGCTATTACACAAAAAACCACTGCAATTTATTCCGTCTACGCCCAACTTTAAATTTTCATAATTGTCTTCAGATGTGAAATTACCACAGTCGTGAATTAAAGTGTTCAATAATATTTTGGCTACTGCATAATCGTTCATAATGAGCACCTATAAAGATTATAATTCAAATATTTTATTTTTATAAATACATTGTGGCATTTTTTCAAAAACTACTAGTGCAACTTTGGCAAATTTCAAGTTTCAATGCCTGTTTTGTTGAATATTTACTAATGTCTTCCTCATATATGTGATTTGGTTTTCCACATCCAATGTTACGAGTACTATTATACTTACGATCAGATTAAGTTCAATACTTCGGCTGATTTTTACCTTCACTAATTGGGGCCAATTCGGTTGCGGTTGATGTGTAAGTACATTTAATTCTAGAATTACAGCTCGGTCTTCAGGTAAGTTTACAATATAAACGTCAGAGTCGACCGAACCTGATAAGTTCGGCGCACATATCAACAACCACGGAGCAGGTCCACGACGTGGTTGCAAAATTGTTAAATTATCGAGTCCCGTACGAAAAATCTACAGACAAAACAACTGAAGATACAGGGTGTCCCAAAAAGATGGGACAATTTGGAACATGCATGTTCCTCATGCAAGTACAATTTGAAGACTCTTTTACCGTTTTGTAATCGGAAGCTCCATCTCCGAGATATTAACAGTTAAACATACTCCAGTCGAGCGGTGAACCACACGTACGCGCAGGCACAGCCAAGAAGCAGAGGCCAGTGACGTGGTCGTGCGCTTCTTGACTGCTGCGCGTTGACTGTACGTGTGGCCCACCGCTCAGCCGCTTAGAGTTCGTTTAACTGCTAATATCACAGAAAGAGAGCTTTGGATTACAAAAAAGTAAATGATTTTTCGATTTGTATTTGCATGAGGAGTATGTACATTCTGTGTAAAAAGTACCCGGAATTTATCATTTGAAAGATGTTCGTAAAAGATATCGCCACAAATTTTTTTCTGTAAGTTGGTAGCACTGTACCGAGTACCACGTGGAAATTTGAGCGCGATCTGTCACTCAGTGTGTTGACTGCAGCTGTTTTTGTTAACCAAACTTTTGAGTGTTCTGCGATTTTTACAATGGACAATTTAGTTGAACAAAGAGTTTGCCTTAAATTTTGTCTTTCAAACGAAATTTCGTGTGCCGAATCACTGAAAATGTTGCAGAAGACCTACAGTGAATCGTGCATGTGAAAAACACATGCATATGAATGGTATAAAACATTCAAAGAGGGCCGAGAAGTGGTAGTTGATTTGCCTCGTTCTGGTCGACCTGCGACGTGTACGAACGACGAAAACATCGACAAAATCAAGAAGCTGGTGCTCGAAAATCGTCGTATGAGTCTTAGAGAGTTGGCTGAAGAGGTCAACATATCTTTTAAGTCCGTTCATAACATTATGACTGATATTTTGGGCATGAAACGGGTCGCCGCACGACTGGTACCGAAAGAGCTCAATTTTCTCCAAAAACAGCATCGTTGTGCAAGAGTTTTTGGCTAAAAACTCAACGAATGTTATCGACCAAGCACCGTATTCGCCTGATATGGCACCGTGTGACTTTTTCCTGTTTCCGAAGCTAAAATTACCACTTCGAGGAAGGCGTTTTGAGTCAATTGAGGCCATAAAAGAAAATTCGCTGAAGGAGCTGAAGGTCATACCTCAATCAGCCTGCGAACAATGTATGAAGGATTGGGTCAAGCGCTGGCATAGTTGTATTGCACTCGATGGGGCCTACTTTGAAGGCGACAAAATAAATTTTAATGAATAAATCAATTTTTTGTATTTTATTTAATAATTCCGGGTACTTCTTACACAGAATGTATGTTGCGGATTTTCCCATTTTTTTGGAGCACCCAGTCTCTGTTATATTTAAACATATAATACGTATTCAGCAACACCTAAACCCACTTTCTCCAAAGAGTGCAGTAAAATTGTACATGCTGCTATTACGTTTCAATTATCCTCAAACAAGTATATGACATTTTATTAAACAAGGATAGAGTATGAATTTTCCGTACCATGAAGCGTTACAAATTGTTAATCATGTATTATTTCCGTACCTGGTATAATTCTTGAACCGGTGTGCCTCTTAATAACAAGCAAATCAGCAACTCGTTGCACTTGGCGTGAATGTCCCTAATGGCGATTGGCAGTTTACTTAAGTTTGTTCCAATCATCTCGTTAACATTCACACAAGCGCCCAAAGCAAGGTAGCCCGTACAACAGAGAACATTAAAGGCATCTGTCCAAAACTGTTCTGATCGTGCTAAACTCGGTCGAACCTAATAATCGTATGCTTATCAATGTTGACATTTATATTATACTTTCTAATATACAAAACGTGCACGATCTACGTAACGTTCTATAATATAAAATTATAAACATTGTAGAGTCGGGGGTGTTTTGTATTCTTCTAAACTATAGTTTTTTTATTATTACAAATTAATGAGAAATATACTTGATACTGACTGCCATCTAATATTAGAATCTTTACAATGTTAATCGTTATAATTAAACATAAAAATAAGCTGTTGTGAAAATCTATATTATAAAAAGCATAAAGAAAAGTCTGTATCAACAAACACTTATATAAAACAGGTGCAGCAAAAATAAATAATAGTTTGATTACCATAAACAGTGTTTATTGTAATTTTACATTGCAAAAATGTTAATGGTTATTTGGTTAATGTACTTTTAAAATAATTTGATTTTCAGTAATTATAAATGTAGAATTTGATTGAATTGTGATGTTTAGTGAGTTCGTCTATTTTGTTATCAGTAGATAGACTACGGATGTTTATGCATTTATGACAGAAACAAGGGTAAAAAATGTAATGAAATTAAATTTTTTATAAATACTAACCAAATTTCTTTACACAACTTTGGTTGAATATGTTGAGATTCGTAATTTCTCTATAAGCGGAAGTATGTGGCGCTGTGTGTAATGTGCGTGGAGTGCGTGCTGAGTGTCGACTGTTGGTCGGCAGCACTGATGCCAGAATCGTGGGATTTCCACGGGAGCATTTACCCTCTCCATGCCTCCCGTGGGTATTTTACCCAAGCATATTCTACCTAGTGATGGGATTTGGAACGCTTCGAATCGCTTCGAATCTGTACACGGACGAAAACTTCGAATCGCTTCGAATCTGATTCGAAGCTACAAAAGTCTTGAAAGTCTTGAACGGATTCAAAGTTCCGAGGCGATTCAAAGTCTCGAGCGGCCTCGAAGTCTTGACCAGATTCGAAGTCTTGAGCGGAGAGATCGACTGACTCTCGTCTCGCGGTTGTCTTCTCACCAACCGTCCGTGCCTCTTATCTTCTAACCTAAACATTAGGGCATTCGCCCTCTCACACGCATTCTTACATCCTGCAGTCTTTCCAAGACTGTTCAAGACTCGAATCCGCTCAAGACTTCGAATCCGTTCAAGACTTCGAATCCATTCAAGACTTCGAGTCTGGTCAAGACTTCGAATCTGGTCAAGACTTCGAAGCCGCTCGAGAGTTCGAATCGCCTCGGAACTTCGAATCCGTTCAAGACTTTCAAGACTTTTGTAGCTTCGAATCAGATTCGAAGCGATTCGAATTTGTCGCTCGAATTCAAGACAGTTTCGAATCGATTCGAAGCGTTCCAAATCCCATCACTAATTCTACCCTGTCCGTGAACTCTGCCCCACTACATCCCAGTCGGCGACTCCCCAACACAAGCATTTTTTACATCTGTCCGTGTGCGCTCTGTTTCGGGTGTTCTCGGCAAAAGTTCTACTTCACACGTTTACGACGTGACGGTCGAGTGGCCCAAGCCAGGTCAAAAATCCCAAATCCCAAGTAACCTAAAGTTTACGCCCTAAACGCCGAGAGCTGCATGATTTCTCTCACGTGCTCATGATGAACACTCCGTCCGAAACTCCGTTCGAATCCCGATACGACGGTTTTACTTTTTATTTTTAATTATTGTATAATTTCATTTTATAATATGTCAATAAAATAAAAACTTCGAAGATATTGATTTAAGAAGCATTTTAAAAAATGGGAGATGTATTTATTCCTGTTTAATATTTAAATTTTATATTACGCAAATACATATTCTCTTATACATATATACACAAATTATTCTTACAATTAGATGTTACCTTTATTCTAACCATTGCAGTACATACATATGAAAACATTGGAAGAAAAATCCATTACATTAATATGTTACGTACAGTAAAACGAAAGCTTGGAAGATATTAATTTGAGAAGCATTTTCAAAATTAGATTTTTTTGTTAAGCTGGTCCACGCATATGCATTTTTTTTAGATTTGATGTCGGTGAGCATGGATAATATGCATGGAAATACAACACATCGTCTTTTCTTTTTGTCCTCTAAATAATGTCACAAGTTGTTCATGTTCCGTCTTCAATATGGACTTTCTTTATTCACGGTATATTAATTTCTTTGGGCGGCTAAAATGCTTCTTTCAAAATCTGGGAAATTCCTATCAACCCCTCTTGAAATAATCGGACAATAATGTATTCGGCACGCGTATAATTGGTAAGAATTCAATACCGTTCCACTTTCCGGTAATAAAGACATTTCAATCACGATTTTCGTCCACGAAAATCTTACCTAGTGGCTCCCTGTGATGAAATAGGCACAGGTTCGTCCACATAACAAACTCTTAAAAACTAAACACGCCATTTCCTCGGCTTTCGAAGCCGCTTAGCCCTGGCTCGTAACAAGGAAAATATATGTAGCGCGAGAAAAACTGCTCGAAAATTATTTTTGTACATATTTTAGAATAAAAATATTTTAAACTATGTTTAAAGTGCTTTTAAATAAATACTGGTCATTGTCATTTAGCCGGAAATTAAAAAATATATAATTAATGTAATAAAAAAAAGAAAGTTAAACCAGGCGGGGCTTCAACCGGTGGTCGAGTTTGCATTGGCTTCGCAGTCGGGCACTTAGCTGCTGCTCCATCGGTGATTCTAGATATGTGATTAAATGTTTTGACATATAAGGAACATAGTATAGTGTCTGGCAGTGTGTTAATTTAATTTTTTTAGTATATATATATTATTTTGCTGAATGTAAAAACACGTGAAATCAAACAGTATACTTCTTTAATAGAAGAAATACAAAAATTCAAAGTATAAGTTACTTTTTCACGGAAAAAATTGATGTTGGATTTTTTTAACTACAGCGCACCCTATCAAAAAATCACAAAAAAATTAAGGATACTACTTATGATAATATGTTGCTACTGTGAAAGGATAAATATGGTGCCGTTCAAGCTTTAATAAGAAAAAAATATTTTTCATCATTTATGATTTTTCATAACTAGGATACTCAACTAAAAAATCGCAAAAAAATCTCCAACACACGCCCCGTTAAATACTATCTATCAGGTTTTTTTACAGAATTTTTGCGCGTCACTAAAGAGGAGAAACCGATAATCCGACTTTTCCCTATTACTACCCTCCTGATCAAGATGGAGGGGTGAAACTTGGCACAAACTGTTTCTTCTTGACAAGCTATCGAAAGGTATATTACAAGCCAAAATCGGTCTAAAGGCACTTTTGACCCCCTTATCCTGCAATACCCTTTAACAAAGGAAAACAAAAATTATTTATGACACAACGTAATATGATTGTTACTATTGTTTCCATGGGAATAATGTGTTTGTGTACAAGTACTTATACATATACAGCATGCTATGTCCAATAACAAAAAGATGGATATGATTTTAGTGGCTGGTACGCATTTAACAATTCCACTCTAAAACGCATTTTAGTTCATCATTAAATATATTTACAAATTGACCGAACATAAGTAAAATGAGTAGTGTCTCTCCTCAAGATCTTTCAAATAAAAGTTTAATCGAATCGAGACTACGCGTAACAAATATTAAAAATCAGTAGTGTGCATACATTAATCGTAAATTAGTAAAAATTTAGTAATAGACTTACATAAATAAATCTCGTCACAATGATGGATAATGATTCATTCAATATTCCAGAAAAGATGCGTTGCGCCATTTTTGGCGAAACAGTGTCCCATAAATCTGTTCTTGTTCCTGAAAGTGGTGAATATAATGCTAATAGAATTTATATTTAAGTTATGTTAAGTAGTGCAGTGAGATCTAAAATTTATAAGGCTCATTTGATGTGTTAACATAGAATGATTTCAATGATTTTTGAATATGTTGTCGGGGGCATGATTCTGAACATATAATCGGCGAATGGTCCAAGTTTCTGAGATACTCCAAAAACATTGTCGGTACCACGTTCCTATTTGGGGTGCGTGGTGAACACTCGGTGGTGTATGGTTGTTGCCTTGCGAGCGCACGAGTTTAGAGGGTCACAGCCGCGGTGGCCCCTCGTGGTGCTCGCAGGGCGACGGAACTGGGAGGTGACATTGGGGATGTCACTCCTGTTGCGGCCAGTCCAAAAAAGGAGACAGTGTCGGGAGGTAAACTCTCGACGCTGTAGGTAGGAGGTGGTGGCATACAGCCGTCCCAGGGGGCGGGGCGAAGCACTAGAAGAGCCCTCCCTCAAAGGCTAGAGGGAGAGCAAGGGCGGGGCTGGTCGCGGTGAGTGTCGAACGATCCCGCGGCTAGCCCTCACACCTGAGAGGGTCACCGGGAGGTTTTTCAGCGGGTGAAACCCCGCATTGGCAGTCTCCGCCCCCAACGGACACTACATTTTTTGAAGGTTTTTCCCAGATAGATATAAAAAACAAAACAAATGGGTGGTGTTTGGTGGGATGTTAAGCACAGTCCGAGACCGGGCATGGTCCGTTCAGGCGTTGTCAAAAACCAAGCCTTAGCCACCAGCCAGTTTCAGACGTTGGCCAGGGCCGTTATCAGGGTAGCCAAAAGCAGGATTACCAGGGAATTCCTTTACGGCAGAAATACCTAATGTTGTTTATAATAAATATAATTATATTTACGAATTACAATAATTTTATTTAAGGCTCCGTATAGATGGTTAAAATAAAGCCGATTTTTGGATATTTTTTTCAAAGAACTTATTTAGTTTAATTTGTTGTAGCTTTTAGATAGACTTAATAAATAGTTTCAAAAGTAAACAAATGTTATCCATAATAAAAAATAATCAGTATATATCGATCCATGGAAGTAGTTCTCAGGGACCACGGTGTCAGAGGTATAAATCGGCGTGCAGCCTACCGTCCAATGTATTCACCTAAAATAAAAGAACACACAAATTTTGTTTTTTTAAATAAGATTACTCTATGGATGAACCTATTAGAATAATGATAAGTGCTTGATTAAAGAAATGACAGGACTTAAAACTCAAAGACAGCGATTTTTAGAAAAAAATTTCGTGTTCGCTGTGCAATAAATATTGTATAATTTAACAATATCGTTAACTTATAGGTTCATTTAGAAGGGAATGTAATTTTCTATATCTATGCACTGGGATAAGTCGTTGGTAAAATATTTTTTGAGTTATACTGCACGCCAAATTGGAAAAAGTGGTTTTGAGAAAAATGCGTTTAAAGTTTCAGGTAATAAAATGTATACGTTTTTCATACTTACAGCTATTTCGCGCTAATCTGCGATTCCAGGTCCATACAGCAAACCTTCTGCTTCTTCAACTGCTGTTGTTTCTTGCTGCTGGAACTTCTTTGCGATCAGAACGATCTTCTTTACTATTATTGAGGCTGCAGCGCTCTTGGCGATTTACCCGTGTCGCGTTGTACGCATTAGCAAAAGATTTACATTCGTGTCCAAGTTTTATTTCCAATATGTTCAACATTTTTACAATGGCGAAATATCCTTCATTGAAAACACTAGCAGCTATAAAAGCGACAATTTCAATGATATTAATTCCAGAGTTTAGGTGTTTCGGTTGCCAAACGCCAAACGTTAGAATTAAAACTTTCATTGGCATTTTGCATATGCCCGCCGACACATCTTTCCAGAAGATCTTTCTTCGATAGATCTTGGTATATGGGTAATAAATGATTTTGTACGTCAGAATGAAGTAAAAGCGCGTGCTCGAAACTTCTCAACGACAATGTCCTCACTATTCGCAGCACTAAGTTTTCTTACTGAAAACTTTCGGAGCACCTTCTTTTTCGACGAACCTTCTTTTACGCGGCCTAGACTGACGATACTTATCGTCTTTACTTCCTTTTGGATACATTTCAATAATTTTTCACTTCTGCACGGACCGAAATTCGGAACACAACTGACTCCAAAAAACAAAATCTATACCTGCGTTTTCACCTAAGGGCACTGATTCATTCTACCTCGACTGTAGTCGTACTTACACGAAGGTACACGAAATACAAGACCGACTAAACATCTGCTCGAAATAAGTCTGCGTTCTGAGATCTATTGTGTGCAACGAGCGAAGCGGAGGGACCGACCGGAGCAGGTCCGCGCGGTCCGACAGACCTACTCGACGCGCTGTTGTATGCTCAACGAAAACTCCGGTTATGATTCGAATTTCAATCTGTTACTGAAAGAACATATTCTCCAGATGCATTATAATCGATTTATGCACAAAAAAAGTCGATTTTTCAACCTGTTATACGAAGTTCCCCCCATAATAGACCTAGAGAGTAGTCATAATGATGGCAGTAACACGTTACAGGTAATCTGCGGGTGGTCGCCCTGCAGAAGACAAGAGACAGTTTTATAATGTCCAGACTCGCACACCCTCGGCATCGTGGCTAAATGGCCCCGAGTGGTGTATGAGAAAAAAATACAGATGTTACTCTAAGAACATACGAAAAGAAACGCGACCTCCAAGACACTTTCCCATGCAGTTTTTGCTTCCCAAAAAGTATTGACCATGAAAGAGTGGGGATCGACCTATTACGCCACATCGATCCTAACGAGGGAGGATCAGTTCAACAATATCAGTTGTCCTTTCCGAACGGTGTCCTTTGCATTCTACGAGGAAATAGAGTTCATGTTCGGAAAACTAAGTTTTAGTTTATTTAGCGATTACGTAGTGATTATTTAGTAGTGTCGCGTACGTCGTCGTTATAAATAGTGCAAATTAATTATTGTAGGTTTTATTAATTGTACCGTGTTAAACTTCGTTTAAATAGTTGTTATAAATTAATTAGAGTAGGTTAAAAATTAGTGTGAAATAGTTACAAATTATTTATTTTGAGTGTTAGTTTTGTGTAACATATACATTCTGTGTAAGAAGTACCCGGAATTATTAAATAAAATACAAAACATTGATTTATTCATTAAAATTTATTTTGTCGCCTTCAAAGTAGGCCCCATCGAGTGCAATACAACAGTGCAATATGCCAGCGCTTGACCCAATCCTTCATACATTGTTCGTAGGCTGATTGAGGTATGGCCTTCAGCTCCTTCAGCGAATTTTCTTTTATGGCCTCAATTGACTCAAAAAGGCCTTCCTCGATGTGGTAATTTTAGCTTCGGAAACAGAAAAAAGTCACACGGTGCCATATCAGGCAAGTACGGTGCTTGGTCGATAACATTCGTTGAGTTTTTAGCCAAAAACTCTTGCACAACGATGCTGTTTTTGGAGAAAATTGAGCTCTTTCGGTACCAGTCGTGCGGCGACCCGTTTCATGCCCAAAATATCAGTCATAATGTTATGAACGGACTTAAAAGATATGTTGACCTCTTCAGCCAACTGTCTAAGACTCATACGATGATTTTCGAGCACCAGCTTCTTGATTTTGTCGATGTTTTCGTCGTTCGTACACGTCGCAGGTCGACCAGAACGAGGCAAATCAACTACCACTTCTCGGCCCTCTTTGAATGTTTTATACCATTCATATGCCTGTGTTTTTGACATGCACGATTCACCGTAGGTCTTCTGCAGCATTTTCAGTGATTCGGCACACGAAATTTCGTTTGAAAGACAAAATTTAAGGCAAACTCTTTGTTCAACTAAATTGTCCATTGTAAAAATCGCAGAACACTCAAAAGTTTGGGTAACAAAAACAGCTGCTGTCAACACACTGAGTGACAGATCGCGCTAAAATTCCCACGTGGTACTTGGTACAGTGCTACCAACTTACAGAAAAAAATTTGTGGCGATATCTTTTACGAACATCTTTCAAATGATAAATTCCGTGTACTTTTTACACAGAATGTAGAGTGTTAGTTTTGTGTAACGTATAAAGTGTTAAACCCAACCGAGGAATCTCGCTTAATCGCGCAGTGTGTGAACATTTTTCGCGGTCGGGAGAATCACGCAGAGTGTGTGTGGACATTTTTCGCGGACGGGACAATCGCTCAGTGTATGTGGACACTTTTCGCAGACTTCTGTGATGTACGTGCATGTGCGGAATTAATTTCATGGATACTCATGGACAGGACAATTGTTATACGTGACAACTAGAGGGTCATTAACCCTCTCTACCCGATAATATTCGTAAGAAGATATTTACATTTGTTGCTAATTTTATCGAGTAATCAGAGTTAATGCGATACAGGTGGATTCGACTCAAATACCACGGGCACAAGTTATCGACATTTTCTACGGGCTAAGTAGACAGCTGTTCTACCGACTTTTCCTGCATGTCGTTGAGTCTTTACAGTGACTGTACGCCTCTTACGAGCCGTGATCCGCTGACACTCCATGCGCGCGGATTGCCATCATTTGGGTCAATTTTGAAAAGCTTATAACTAACAAACGAAGCATTTGTCGCAATTTCGTTATTCTTGATTTTCGTCTTATTTTGCCTCAAAGAATCACCCCTTACATTTTTTCCCACTAGTTGTCGAACACCCTGTATGTAAGAAAAAAGTTGTCCTCAACAAACATTTACATACATGCCTCCAACAAACTATTCAAAAATCATTGAAAGCATTTTATATTGGTATATCAAATACTTGCCAAAATTTTAACTAGTTTAAGTATTTTACATTACCTTGCATGTACAGCCACCACATTTGTATCACAAAGGAGCAACGCTCACGTTCAAAGAATGGCTTTGTATCATGCCAGTTCAGAGAATCAGCTTCGTTGAGTACATATAATGATATTAAGCGACAGTGTAAATCTAATAATCTCTCTGCTACAGCCTCAGCCATTTCATGATAAGATTTGTATGATTTGTTCACCATTTCGCTATTAATAATTAGAAAATATATACATTAATGCAGTGTATTACCAATAATATTTTTAAACATTATGAGAATACAGCCATGAAATTTAAAAATAATACCGTGCAATTCTAGCAAACGCCCCAGAGTTTATAAATCATATATTCAAACAATTTATTTTTAAAGAAATCACAAATACTAACGATGGTCTAAGAGAATTCGACATTCATACATGAATTCTATTTTATTCAGTTGTTCGGAAAGTTTGTAGAAAATACAATAAATACATCATTTGCTTCAATATGGTTTCGTAATCTGTCACGTGATTTTGTGATCCCTTCTACGAATAATTTTTTCTTATTCATGGAAACAAATTCTTGCAAGCAGTGTATACAGACTTCCAGTACTACACTTTAAAGGAATCATTGTTAGGGGACTACTTTTAAGGGAATCGCCCACTTGATTAGTTTAGATATAACCCTTAATAATGATATCAATAGTGTTTAAAATTCGACTAACAATAAGTCGTTCGCGCACCGTCGCGCGACCGAAGTTTCCCGAGTTTTTACGACGTCTCGCGAGATTCCGCCACGCTCCTCGTTCCGAAAAATATCACGCGGTTGCGAAACCAATACTGGCACGCACCTGTATCGCGCGATAACTCACTGCCAATCACCGAATTGTGCAAAAAAGGACAGTCGGTGCTCGACTATTGTCCTACGCCGAGAGCCCGCAGAATAGGAATAATACCGGTACTCTTCTCACGCGACAATTTGCACGTGCCTCACGTCGTTGTCGTACAATTTCATTGTTGCAAACAGCCAATATCTCTTAAAGCACGCGCATCGCGTCAGAGTCCACGACTCTTTACTTTGTATAGTCTAAGAAATGTTCTAAGTGTTCGGTCAGTTCTCGTAATTTCTCGTGTGTTTTATTGGACTTGAGCAAGAATCCTCTTTCAACCTCTACGATCAACGCTGAGCGATCCCAGGAATTTAATATATTTTTTCAATCTCTACCTAAATGACAATAAACAGTATTTATTTAAGAATATTTCACTTTAAAACATACACAAAAGCCTCATAAATCTCATCTTCATGACATCCCTAACAATATGCACAGAAATTTCCTTTCGATTTGACTTAAATTGCTTATGTCTTTTCAATATATTATCTATTCTAAATAGACCCACGTGATGTGAAACTTCGAAAAAATAATAGTCCACCAAAAGGAAGAATTCCTTTTTCTGCACTCACAATAATTATTAAAGATAAAAGATTTTGGAACCACTCAAAACACCTTTATGATTTCAGTAATTATAAAAGACGTACTTTGAAATCCGACATTTCACCGTGTTTGGATGTTCTAAGTATTGTCAATGTGGGGAAATATGGCGTTCGGGTGAAATAATCCACACATATATGTTCGTAAATGTTTCTTACGCGTGTCTATGCTCGCTCGGAACGTTACCGACTGCGGTTGTTGCTCGTGCAACGCATGAGATCTGAAGAGAATCTCCTACATTTATTCCTAACATTTATAAGAAAGTACACTGAAAGGAGTAAAAGTTTAAATTTTTATTCATGGGTGATTTATTCCGTGTGTTACATTATAACCCGAGGGCCCGATGGTCGGTTGCCGGCGGCCAGATAACATCTCTACGCGCCGAGGCTACGAGCTTCGAGCTTCGAGTGCCAGTGTGCCAGAGCCTCGGGTCTCCCCTGAGAACATAAATCTGTCAGTTGGGCTCGCTCTAGTAGCTCGAACAAGCTCGAACATCGAGGCTCGGTTACCCATCACTACTCGAGGCATAAATGGTCATAATGTAGGCGGATCAAAAATACAGCGTTTCGTCTCGGGAATCGTCTACCAAGGACTCGTCAATGGGGCTGACGGTAGACGACCCCTACCCCAGACGCCTGGGTTGCTCCTCGGACCCAAAGGCTGTAATTATCGCTTGCGAGAAAACTCGCCACCTAGCGGTCGTTACCAAAAACCCAAGCGCCTTGGAGAAACGTCTCCACAGACCGCCTTGTCCTATCAAATCTCCTACAATAAAGCAATTAAAGAAAGCCCGAGTTTCGCCGTTTGGAAATTAATGAAAAAGTCACGTAGCAAATCCTACCCTCGGTCTAAACAGCTGTTAGAAAACCCAATGTAGGTAAAGTGACCATAACGGTATTTCTAAAAATTGTATACGCGACGCGACAAGTATTTTTACATTAAGGATTTACCTAAACGACAGATTCTCTTGCTATATGGGAGTTACCGTTCTCATTAAAGAGTGTGATTAAAAAAAGACGTTTTTTATTGTTTTGAATGTTCTTTGGAATGCTTATAATGCCATATTGATACTAAACACATAAAAAAAAGAAAAATTCATTTATCCAGGCCCTCGGGTCGGAAAAACGATTACGATCCGTCCCGAATGTGTTAAATAAGTCGTAAAATTTGTTTCTATATTACCTAATATTCGCCCAGTAGTTATGATAATTAATACCTAGGATTAAAGATTAGTGATGTATCATACAAGTACCTTGTTAGAGCAGAAATTGTGTTTTTAGTTTGTTGATTATAACACCATAAGCAGTTTCGTACTAATGCTGCTGCTCCCAAAGTGGCCGTTAATACTGTTAAATCTGCATGATCCAATGATTCTTGAATGAGCAAATGTAAATGTTCTGAAATTATTTATAAATCAATACAATATTCTTATATGATACTACTAGAAAATATGTACCATTACGTACGTTTCAATTGATTACACTCGACGCCAAATAAGACCATAACTGCGAAATTACGAATTTCGTACTTGTTTGCATACTTACCTCTCGGGTGCCTTAGCTATCAATGTCTTAAACAACTGAGCATCTACTATGCCTCGTGTAGCATCATACAGTGTGGGACAAAATGATAGCACATATAAAGCAATGCCTTGTATTTTACAATAAACACATATTAACTTGCCTCTTATTCACCTTATATATTGTATGTGTTCGAGATTAAGATTCGAGAAAGAATGCGAAGGAGCGCCTTTTTGGATTTTGTAACAAACAATTAGCGGTTTACTGTCACAAACTGTACACAAATAAATAAATACAATAAAACGATAACGAGTAGACACAATAATTCAGAGCACCGAAAACAGTAGATACAATTATTATATCCGGAGTGCCGGTAATATAACTGTGTTATGTAGGGAGCACCCTTAGCTAATTCGCACGTTTCTAGAACAAAGTATCGTCACGGATAAGCCAACACTAGACATCGAAGCACCGAAACACAGTAATAGATATGATTATGAGGACCGGAGCGCCGGCAATAAAAGTATTATAAGCAGGAAGCACTCTTTCTCTGACTCGCACATTTCGTGGGTAATTAACACTAGGTTTACGGGACGCGTCATTTTGACGCATTTCGAATGCTTTCTAACCTCGAAATTCTCTATGTGGTATACCTATCTCTATAGCTATGCATTAATTTCAGAGATCATAAATTGTGTATTATATAAAATAAGTTGTTTTTTAAAGAAAATCTGCGGGTTCGTTGATGCGTGCCGTGGAGATACCTACACGATAAGAGCCCGTAAACCTAGTGTTAAACAGTTAATAGCATAAAAACTGTGCTAGCGGTCACGTAGGCACCACTCACAGCAACGGTCATTTTAGAGAGAGGGAGAGAGCGCACTGCCAGACAAAGACCTGGCAGTGGCTAGAGAAGGACGACGTTATAATTATACGAGGCGACTTACAGGTGTCGGCACTATGATTACCCGCGACGTAACTGCTCGTCTCCGGCGACGATTACCGAACTCGACACGACAATTGTCGAACTTCGCGGCGAGGCGCGCGCTACGAGCTCGCCGCGACGACGCTGGCTTCTAGGCGTGCATGACGTCATGCCGCAGTCCAGCCAATCCTGAACAGTATGTATCTGTAAGATTACGTGTACCAATAATTGTTTTTGTAGAATAGCAGTGAAATGTTTTCTAGAAGAAAACGTAAACACAAGGTACTACGACCTGGACAAAATAATAGCACAGTTGTAATATTTTCGGTCTCCAGTCGTAGTTGAGCCGCAGATTGGCACAAACAAGCACAGATTTAGTGTTTCGGTATTGTTCAGTACTCGAATAAATAAAAAATTGAAACAATGGATCGTGGAAAGTGCTTAAACCAGAGTGAAATAGACCGTATTTTATAACTAAAACGAGAAAAATATTCAATTGCAAAAATTGCCAAATTAGTGAACAGAAGTCGTAAGGTAGTCCCTAATTTATTAAAAAATCCCACTCAGTATGGGAAAAAGAAGAGTAGAGGACGACCGCGTATCATCACAAATCGTAAAACACGGGCCATTTTACGGATTGCTTCGAATTTCAAAGGCACAGCTAGGCAAATTGCTGCAGAAGCAGTTGTTAAAACTAATCTTAAAAATGTTAGACGTATTCTACAACAAAGTAAAAGTATCAAGAGGCGGAAATTGAAACGACGACCACCCTTAATGGACAAACATAAAGAGTATCGTTTGCAATTTGCTCGTGAACATATTCAGTGGAAGAAAAAGTGGAGAAATATTATCTTTTCGGACGAAAAGAAGTCTAACTTAGATGGGCCCGATGGTTGGAACTATTACTTTCACGACTTAAGAAAAGAACAATTGTTTTTAACCCGTGGCCAAATGGGAGGAAGTGTTATGGTGTGGGCGGCTATTGGATATTGTGGAAACACGGATATAAATTTTATCAACTGCCGTATGAACAGCAAAAAATACATTTCATTTATTGATGATCAATTAAAGAAATATGCCACGCGTATTGCAGGCGAGAATTATACCTTCCAACAGGATAATGCTGCAATTCATACGGCGAAAAAGGTCAAAGAATATTTTTCAGGTCAAAATGTATCTGTTCTTGATTGGCCAACAAACTCACCTGACCTGAACATAATTAAAAATGTTTGGGCAGAACTTTCAAAAAGGGTATATACAGGAGGAAGACAGTTTCAGACTGTTAACGATTTAAAATGTTGCATTTTGAAAAAGTGGAATACAATGCCACGAAAACTCATTAAAAAATTCTATATAAATCTCTTCCAAAGAGAATGACAGATATAATTCAAAACAAAGGTGGATTGACAAAATATTAAAAGCAATGTATCTTTCCTTTTTAATGTACTTGTTATAATAATTACAAGATGTGCTATTTTTTTGTTTTACTTATTTTGTTTCGTTTTTAATAGTACACACAATATACAGGGTGTCACAAAAATATTGTCCAAACCGAAAATGGGGCACTCGGGGAGTGAATTGGAACAACTTTTTCTTTAGCAACAATGTAATCTGAGGCTTCGTTCCGAGATATTAACGAAAAACTCTGACCAATCAAAGCGCGAGTTTGCCAGCCGAGTTCCCGCGCTAGCAGTGGCTACGCGCTGCACTTGTACTACGAAGCTCCGAACAAGTAGGTCAGCATGCATCGCAGGAAACTGCGTATAATAGCAAATAAAAAAGACGTAAGAAATAAAATCATACTTTTTATCATCTGTCGTTTGTTATTTAAAGAGACTAATGAATGAAGCATAAATGTAGGCAAATTATGTGTAACGTAAAAAGACGAGTGCACAGTTAATTTTTTAAACAAAACGGAAACTAATAATTACTTGAAGATAGAGGGTCAGAAATTTGTAAATTCCTTTTTCAATAGGTTTTCAATAGGTTACTGCTACGTTAATATGAACCGCATTACCCTACCGATAGACTTATTTTACGGAAAAGAGTTTAACGAATACGGTTTCTATACGCAGTTTCCTGCGATGCATGGTGATCTACTTGTTCGGAGCTTCGTTGTACAAGCGCTGCGCGTAGCCACTTTTTCGTTAATATCTCGGTAACGAAGCCTCAGATTACACTGTTGCTAAGGAAAAAGTTGTTCCAATTCACCCCCCGAGTGCCCTATTTCCGGGTCGAACAACATTTTTGTAACACCCTGTATATGTAATACATAATTTTGTTTAAAAAAAAGTAGTAAACATTATTACAAGCTTAATAAGCAATTGATTGTATTGTAAATAGTTAGTTACTTTTCAATTAAAATATAAAACTAAACGATAATACGACGTAAGATATCATTTTGTCCCACACTGTACATACATCAAATGACTCTGAAGTAAAAATGTGCCAATTTAGAAGTATTCATGTCTCGTGAAATACTTTATTATGTTACCCGGTATATGACAAATTCTATCGCCCACGTTACAGACAGCACCCTAGGGGTGGGGTGAGGTGGGGAGGATCAGGATTCGAGAAATCTCTCCTGCTCATTCGAGATGCGTATACCAGTTATGGTCTTATTTGGTGTCAACTAGTATTCCATATGAAATTTATATAGCTGAAACATACTTTGAAAACGGATGGTCATACCTAATAATTGCTCAGCAGTATCAACTACTGTTAACATGAATTCGGATGGTTGTATTTGTTTAATAACTCTATCCTCATTTCCTACGCTTCCGGCAGTTTCACATTCATCAGAAGTAGCAAATCCAGAGTGGCGTTTGAAAGCAGCTTGGAAGTCTAATTCCCACCATGTGACAATTTTGATAGCGGCGAATGAAGCGTGTCTTGGAAAATCAAGCTTCCCTCCGCATATACGTGTACACAATGGCTCCTTTAACACTGTCTGCATTTCCTGTAGCACCCCAGCACATTAGCAAATATTTTATCAGAATACCCTGTTAACGCTATAGGTTAATTTGGTAAATTGAAATTAACGATATGTACAAAAAATATTATTCAATACGTTGGTTCGTTACGCTCTATCAAAAGACTCCTTTCAGTATATTAGTTGAGTTTTTACGCTATGTAATTAAGCAATTATAAGTGTTATGTCTGTTACGGGCGAGGTCCACAAGGTGTACAGAGTCTGCATTGCCCGGGCTATGTAAGCATTGAACATCGCTAGTAGGCAAAGTCTAAAGCAAAGGTTAATAAACGACCATGACTCGGTTTATAACGAACAAAGTTAACATTGCCCATCACTGGGTTGACAGAGCCAGCAACTATTATTTCTTTGCACACTTTGCCCGGTTTGAAGTGGGTGTTGTTGACAGTAATAAATCTACGTGGGAAGAACCATAGTACAGTACACTCATTGTGAGTGGCGCATCCGTTTAAAGACTGCTTTGCAATGAGCGGTTCGCTCCTTTTTCCATCCCTGCAGACGGGAGATCTCTACGACCCACGTGATCCAAATAATACTTTAACAAAACATTGGACGACAGAACTTGGCAGTGGATGATAACAAGTTTCGTAATTAGAGCGACCATCTGATGCACTATATTTTCTAATGAACGTTACGATTATAAATGTGTTTACGCGTTATCTTTGTACACATGTTCTAAATCTTCAGTAAAAAATATTCGTATTGTAATTTAACTATCTATAAACGAACTGATTTAAAATAGCGAAGGTTTTCATGAAATTTAATACAATGGGTTCCGCTTAATTGGGACCGCCGGTTATTTGGGACAAATACTGAAGAACGGAAACAAACACTATTGTTTCTACTTCGCTTATACGGGACATACCGCCACTTTATTGGGACAGTTAACGCTCGTACAGTTTACGGTTGGAGATACAGTAAAGCTTATTCTGTAGTAGTGATATTGATTATAAGTATAGATACGGCTCGAACGTAGGAAGGGTCAGCGTAAATGAAGTAAAAAGAAGTCTAAAATTCTGAATCATATTAAAGTGGGATCAAGTTGACATGCTCGAGCCATGGCACAATGACACGGGTGATACTGGAAACGCGGCACGACGTCCCCCCATCACAGCTCTATCGATAGATTTTTGTTTATAACTTGTATAACTTTTTTTGTTATACTTTGTATTTAACAGCAAATATTTCATACATTTTTCAATAAATCGTTTTTGTTTCACAATAAATAGTGTTCAGATTTCATCTGTTCAAATTCGCTTTATTGGGACAAAGTAGTCTGGTTCCAATGTGTCCCAATTAACCGGTATCCACTGTAATTAAACATTTCATTGTGTAGTAAAGCATTGTTCGAAACAAAGAACACTCATTTATACAGCTACAATAATTATTAAATTACCAGTGACATTACCTGATAATATTGCATGTCACGCTGCAACAAAATTCTGACACGATCTACTAAGTTACCATCTTCCATAATCTCCATTTTTGCTATCTGTTTAATACAAACAATATAACTTAGGCAGTGTAAAGTAAAAGAGTTCTTTAATACTATAGTTTAAAGAATACTGGTTAACAATGATCAACTATTATAATATTTATTCATTTATTTACACAACAAAGTATTCTATAAATGATATTATAATATAAAAACGTTTATACTAAATTTGCTTCTCTTGGACATGGAGCACTTACAAATAGAATTAATTACATGTGTCAATGTCACATTTTACAATGTTTATAGGTAGTCAAAAAAAGTAAATATGAACCATGTATCAGAGGTTGTAAGCAAAGCAACATAATTCAATAAATTTTAGTTTTTGCCTGAATTATAGTCTACATATATGAAATATAGTAAAATAACATTTAAAATTCAAGACATCGCATAACGGGCAGGGTACATTTTAGCGAAAATCTTAATGAAACAAGTGCTTCTGATTCTCGTAAAATAAGGTAACTCTATACTTCTTGTATCCAGTAATCGTAAAGCACAACAAAATTTATTTATTTACATATAAAATATTCTCATCCAAAATTATTTCTTGCTGACCAAATACTGAGAAGTTGTTAGGTTTTAAAAACTGTGAAAATCATTATGATTATTAATAGTATTACTATTCTATCTGACTTACTATTACACAAATATAAAGAACCGGCGCTAGTCTCAGTTTACCTGGATGGGACAACTCTAGATTTTCAAAACTATACTGTAGATTGCTTCATAAATTATAACGTACTAAAATTAACAGGGGTATAATATTTTCTCGAGGTACTCGTGCAGTATTTATTTTGTTTATAAACATAAAGAATGTAAAGAAATAGAATCATTCTGTTTATATTTTCATGTTAATAACACTGTTCAAGAAATTTTAACTTTCTTCCTACCTCATAACCGTTAATAGACGTTTCTGATAGATCTTTATGAACTAAATACAATTCTGCAACCAGTTTTTTTCCAGCACGTCTAGTTTTCAAAACCATAAAATTTGTTTACATTGCATATGTATAACTTTAGAGATGTGTTGTTCTTTTACAGTAAAAGTTATTCAGTTATTTTTGACACGGAATAATTCTCTGGACTCTCCGGAACAAAGTAATGTAAATTGTCATTATCTTATATAGGGTGTCTCAAAAATGTCTCTCTTCCGGGAAATGAAGGGTTGCTGGGATGATTTGAAACCATTTTTTCGTTAGCGAAAATGTTACCTGCGGCTTTGTTAACGGGATATTAACGAAAAACCCCGACTAATCAAAGCGTGAGTTTGCCAGTTGAGTTCCCGCACTAGCGGTAGCTACGCGCTACGCTTCTACAGTAGACATTCGTTTATTGCCGACCCTATTATTGCAGCATGGGAACGCCCTTCGCTCACACGTATTTCTCACATACATGCGCGCACCCCACTCTATCGTCCAACACGCCCAGGACGGAATACATACGGTGTCGTGTTTCACTCGTATATTTCATTACAGAAAGCGAAGTGTATATAATATTGTTTTAATAAAATTGTACCGAGTAAGTCGTTAGTACGGACACGAGATAGCTTCACGTGCCTCGCGGTTCTCGCTGATACGATTGTGTCTCGCGGTCTACGAGTACCGCGACACGAGACACAATCGAGGCAGAACTCGACCCCCTGCGGACCAGCGAACACCGACCAGGATCGAGCTCTCTGCCGTTTTTGATCTCCACGCCTTCAAGGTGCTCGTGAGGTCGGGCGCTACCCGGCCTCACCGCAGGGAAGCCTTTAGCCGCTGGCCCTTCGGCAGTGTTGGATCAACCCCACTGACCGGACCATCCTGACCCCTCCGCCCCCATCGGCAATCACCTAAGGGGGCGGGGACACCCAGGGTCCTCCACCCGACCTACAGGGCTCTCGGTCGAGGCTACTCCCCACTCCTCGCATTACCAACCCGTCGAACCGACACGCCGCCGTACCGTCGACTGACCGTACACACCGCCGACCGACGATACCGACGCGTACACACCGCCGACCGACCGCACCGACATTTAAGGGGGGAGACTCTGTGGCCCGTGCGCTGGCGTGCACTCACACAATCAACGGGAACCGCGTATGTATATGCGATGCGCAAGAGAGACATTCGATTTCGTAGGAACCAACTTGAGCCTCGACAATTGCACAAATGCACTTTTCACTGGTATAGAACTCACGGGTAGACTTCCCTACAGGGTGGTCTGGTCCGTATAAACGCCAATAAACACATTCTAATTGAAAGAATTAGAATTTTAGAAAGTGTGCGATTGTGACAGACGCCGATGAAAACACACAAGATGGCTGCACAAGTCACATTTTGTCAAATATCTCACGATTTAATGGTTTTCTCGTCAAACGCAGACCAGACCACCCTGTACACTACTATCACCCTATCGTGGAAATTCGATTTGAGTCACTTTATCACTTCTGGAAGGCACAAGTTGGTTCCTACGATTTGATGCGTCCAGCGCAGAAATAAACAGTGGTCTGTTGGTTCCTACGATTTGATGCGTCCAGACGCAGAAATAAACAGTGGTATAGTTCAAGGATTCTTCGCTAGAGGCGTTTATGGTATTTGTCAGTCACTTTAGCCTGCGTTACCACGAGCATCGATAAAACAGAGGGAGTCGGTAAATGTAACCTCGCAACACGTGGTGGATCGTATCGATTGTTTTGTTACACTGTTGCCATTCGACAATTCTGCCCGTCAGGAGAACGATGGAACAGCTACGGCCTACGGCTCGTGGCGAGATTTCGATTCTCGCGGAACGTAGGAAAAGAACGGCGCGGGGGGAAAGAGAAAGAGATTAGAGAATGATGTTTCATATTGTAATATTTACGTACTAATGTGTGCAAGGATGAACCTTCTTATTCGTACTTGCAATGATGCTTATTTTTTTAATTAATAAAATTACATACGAGATACTTGACATGATATTCTCGAGAAACAAATTGTAAAAATGGCACAATATACAGGGTATTTCACGTAACTTGACCACCTTAAATATATCGCTTATTTTGTATGATTTTGTATAACCGTTGTGCATGCGTTGAGTTCCTTCCTGCTTCTCCATAGATTAAAATCATTTCAACTTTTTCTGGTGTAGTGTACATAATGGATAAGCACTGAGATACCGATACTGTACCTTGTTGTACTGATAATGCTTGTAAACATACTTCAGCCGATGAAAGGAGAATACGAATGACTGTTTACAAGCACAAGGGACAATTACACGGTACACTGTTCCAATGAAATTGAAGTTCCTTCATTTACCGTCCCCGAACGCGTACTGAGCTTACTGACAAACATTTCATGATTTTTTCGCTAAAGGTCACGTGAAGGTCAACATATTGCACCTCGTTGGATTTGTTTTTTTATATACTATAAGAGTGTTGTAGTGAAAATATGTAGTCCCATTTAAAAAAAATTCGATGACCTCGAAATCTCGAAAAAATGACCTTGAGAAAAAAATTCGGCCCATCACCGTATTGGCGCCTTCGAACAGAATATTTTTCTCTCCTGATATTTTTTCTATCATACAAAATAAGCGATATATTTAAGGTGGTCAAGTTACGTGAAATACCCTGTATATTCCGGGTATTCCACACACGAAAAACATGGAATACTATACAAATCTCTTGTTGGAAATGATATTTATTTTTTGTTGACATAATTGACGCAGGTGTTATATACTTACACAAATATTTTATAAAAGAGACACAAAAGGAACACAATTAATCGCATACGCTCTGTCAATCTTTCATTCGTCGCCCAGCGGAGATAGATTTTGTACTAATTGATTGCTGTCCCATGCGTACTTAGCGTATCATCTTCGCTGCGTCCGCACCTGTTCCACTACGTACTTTTTTTTTAAAATTGGACCAAACGACTTGAGTATTTTTGAGAAGCTAGAAAGATTAACTTATTAGATGACATGTTTTCGTTATTTCGAAAAAATTACAATTGTTGGAATACCGAAGAAAATAGTAAAAATATTAAGAAGTCCTTTTTTCATTTTTTTTCTGATCCTATAGTGAAAATTTAACAAATACCTCTTATACACTTAATTAA